TGGAGTAGTACCTAGCTGTCTAACATCCAGGATCAGCCCCTCCGAGTCTTTAGAGATGAGCTCCTCATCGCTGGGGACCTGAAGTTTCAGTGAGAGGAGGGGAGGGGAGAGTAGGACGAAGATGGGCCTCTGAGGGTCACTGGTAAAATAGCCTTGCAAGTAGCTACAGGCCCAGGAGCTCATCCAGGCTTGACGATGTGGGCTTGTGGAAAGGAATGCTGCTCTCGGTTTTTTTGGCTTCTTCAGCTTTTGCAAGTGGGAGGGAAATTAAAGAAGGTGGGTTCAGTCAGCAACCAAGGCACATCCCATAGCTTTCTCCTTCCCCAGATCTGGAGCCCTGTCTGGGCTTGGCTGAGCAGGGACAGGCAGACTTGTGGGAGAGGAAGGAAAGGGGTGGGCAGAAGGAAGCTGCCTCTTGATGATAGTCTTTTCTGTGTTTTTTTGAGATGGAGTTTCACTCTGTTGCCAAGGCTGGAGTGCAGTGCTATGATCTCGGCTCATTACAACCTCTGTCCCCGGGGTTCAAGTGATTCTCTTACCTCAACCTCTGGAGTAGCTGGGATTACAGGTGCCTTCCACCACACCCAACTTTTTTTTGAGACGGAGTCTCGCTCTATTGCCCAGGCTGTAGTGCAGTGGCACAATCTCTGCTCACGGCAAGCTCCGCCTCCCAGGTTCACGCCATTCTCCTGCCTCAGCCTCCCGAGTAGCTGGGATTACAGGCATGTGCCACGATGCCTGGCTAATGTTTTTTTTTTTTTTTTTTTTTTTTTTTTTTTTTTTTTTTTTGTATTTTTAGTAGAGAAGGGGTTTCACCATGTTAGCCAGGATGGTCTTGATCTCCTGACCTCGTGATCCGCCTGCCTCGGCCTCCCAAAGTGCTGGGATTACAGGCGTGAGCCACCGTGCCCGGCCACACCAAGCTAACTTTTGTATTTTTAGTACAGACAGGGTCTCACCATGTTGTCCAGGCTGGTCTTGCACTCCTGACCTCAGGTGATCCACCCGTCTTGGCCCCTCAAAGTGCTAGGATTATAGGCGTGAGCCACTGCACCCAGCCAATGGTTTTTGTTTTTTAGAGAAAGGATCTGGCTCTGTTGCCCAGGCTAGAGGGCAGTGGCGCAATCATGGCTCACTGCAGCCTCCAACTACTGGACTCAAGTGATCCTCCCACCACAGCCTCCCAAATAGCTGAGACTACAGGTGTATGCCACCAGGCCCAGCTAATTCTTTCTTAATTTTTTTGTGGAGATGGGTTCTAGCTATGTTGCCCAGTCTAGTCTCAAACTCCTGGGCTCAAGCAATCCTCCTGCCTCCGCCTCCCAAAGTGCTGGGATACAGGTGTGAACCACTGCACCCGGCTAGGAATGTCATTTTGGAAGTGATAAAGAATACTATGTGTGGGAAGCAGGAGGAGGAGCACTTGACTCGGAGTCAAGAGACCTTGGTCCTAGTCTCAATATTGCTACTACTTTGCTGTGCGACTCTTATTTTTATCTTTTATTTATTTTTGAGACAGAGTCTTGCTCAGTTGGCCAGACAGGAGGACAGTGGCACAATCATAGCTCACTGTAGCCTCCACCTCCTGGTCAATCCTCCCGCTTCCACATCCCAAAGGGCTGGGATTGCAGGCACTTGGTGACTTTTGAAAATCACTTTCCTTCACTGAGCCTCAAGCTTCTTAAATAAAATGATGACTTGATGACTGGGCACTGTGGCTCATACCTGTAATCCCAGCACTTTGGGAGGCTGAGGTGGGTGGATCACCTGACGTCAGGAGTTCGAGACCAGCCTGGCCAACATGACAAAACCCTCTACCAAAAATACAAAAATTGACTGGGCGCGGTAGTTCATGCTTGTAATCCCAGCACTTTGGGAGGCTGAGGCAGGCAGATCACAAGGTCAAGAGATCAAGACCATCCTGACCAACATGGAGAAACCCCGTCTCTACTAAAAACACAAAAATTAGCTGGGCGTGGTGGCACACGCCTATAGTCCCAGTTACTCGGGAGGCTGAGGCAGGATAATCGCTTGAAACCAGGAGGAGAGGTGGCAGTGAGCCGAGACTATACCACTGCACTCCAGCCTGGGCGACAGAGTGAGACTCCGTCTCAAAAAAATAAATAAATAAGTAAAATTAGCTGGGTATGGTGGCGCGCACCTGTAATCCCAGCTACTCGGGAGGCTGAGGCAGGAGAATTGCTTGAACCCGGGAGGTGGAGGTTGCAGTGAGCTGAGATCACGCCACTGAACTCCAGCCTGGGTGATATAATCAGACTCTGTCTTCAAAAAATAAAAATAACAAACAAACCCTATCCTGTACCTCCTCAGGCTTCAGAGAGTGCTGAGTTAACCTGCAGAAAGAAGGTAAGTCCCTGGGAGGTGCTAACTAGCAGTTGCTGGAGACAGAACCAGCCCAGCCTTTGGGCTCAGAAAGACCAGGTTCAAATTCTGCTCTTCCTGGCTGTGTGACCTTGAGCAAGTGAATTAACCTGTCTGAATCACACTTTCCTTATGTGGAAAATAGAATATTTGTTCCATAGTTTTGTAAGAATGTGAACTGCCTTGCACAGGGCCTGGCACCTAGTGAGCCAGCACACAAGTGAATAGATCTTCTCCTAAATATATTATTAAAGAAATGGTTGGTTGGGCATGGTGGCTCATGCCGGTTGTCCCAGCACTTTGGGAGGCTGAGGTGGGCGGATTACTTGAGGTCAGGAGTTTGAGACCAGCCTGGCCAACATAGCAAAACCTTGTCTCCTCTAAGAAAATACAAAAATTGGCTGAGCGCGGTGGCTCACGCTTGTAATCCCAGCACTTTGGGAGACCGAGGCGGGTGGATCACGAGGTCAGGAGATCGAGACCATCCTGGCTAACACGGTGAAACCCCATCTCTACTAAAAATACAATAAATTAGCTGGGCGTGGTGGCACACACCTGTAGTCCCAGCTACTCTGGAGGCTGAGGCAGGAGAATGGCGTGAACCCGGGAGGCGGAGCTTGCAGTGAGCCAAGATCGTGCCACTGCACTCCAGCCTGGGCGACAGAGTGAGACTCCATCTCCAAAAAAAAAAGAAAAAAATAACCAGGAGTGGTGGCACATGCCTATAGTCCCAGCTACTCAGAAAGCTAAGGCAGGAGAATCACTTGAACCCAATAGGCAGAGGTTGCAGTGAGCCAAGATCCCACCAAGACTCCAGCCAGGGCAACAGATCAAGGCTCTGTCTTAAAAAAAAAAAAAAAAAAAAAGGAAAATAAATGAAATGGTTATTAGAGTGTGGTCCTGGACCAGAGCATCACATTCCCCAGAGAGTAGTAGAAACTCAAACTCCAGGCCCTGCACCGCAGACCTACTGAATCAAAAACCCTGGGGTGGGGGCCCACAACCTGTTTTAACATGCCTGCTGCAGTTTGAGAATCACTGCCACACTGCATGGGAATGTAGACTGTTGGGATTCTGAAGCTTAGGACATATCACAATCTTCTGAGAGCTTGTTAAAAACACAGATTCCAGGCCGGGCGTGGTGGCTCATGCCTGTAATCCCAGCACTTTGGGAGGCTGAGGCAGGCAGATCACGACGTCAGGAGATGGAGACCATCTTGGCTAACACAGTGAAACCCCGTCTCTACTAAAAATACGAAAAATTAGCCAGGCGTGGTGGCACACACCTGTAGTCCCAGCTACTTGGGAGACTGAGGCAGGAGAATCGCTTGAACCCAGCAGGCAGAGGTGGTAGTGAGCAGAGATCGCGCCACTGCACTCCAGCCTGGTGACAGAGCCAGACTCTGTCTCAAAAAAACAAAAACAAAAACAAAAACAAAACAAAACACACACACACACACACACACACACACACACACACACACAGATTCCAGGCCGCGCACAGTGGCTCATGCCTGTAATCCCAGCACTTTGGGAGGCCAAGGCGGGTGGATCACCTGAGGTCAGGAGTTCAAGACCAGCCTGGCCAACATGGTGAATCTCCTTCTCCACAAAAATACAAAAATTAGCTGGGCATGATGGCAGGTGCCTGTAATCCCAGCTACCTGGGAGGCTGAGGCAGGAGAATCGCTTGAACCTGTGAGGCAGAGGTTGCAGTGAGCCGAGATCGACCCACTGCACTCCAGCCTGGGCGGCAGAGTGAGACTCCATCTGAAAAAAACAAAAACAAAAACAAAAAAACCCACAGATTCCGACTGGGTGTGGTGGTTCATGCCTGTAATCCTAGCACTTTGGGAGTCCAAGGTGGCAGGATCGCTTGAGCCCAGGAGTTTGAGACCAGCCTGGGCTACATAGCCAGACACCATCTCTACAAAACAAACAAACAAAATAAGTAGCTAGTGGTATGTGCCTGTGGTCCCAGATACTCAGGAGGCTGAGGTGGAGGACTGCTTGAGCCCAGGAGTTTGAGGCTGCAGTGAACCATGATCGTGCGGCTGCACTCCAGCCTGGGCAACAGAGCGAGAGCCTGTCTCAAACCAGAGAAGACAAAACAGAACAAAAACCAGATTTTTGGCCTCAAAGTCAGAAACTGAGGTGGGGCCTGGGAATCCTTTTTTTTTTTTTTTTTTGAGATAGAGTCTCACTGTGTTGCCCAGGCTGGCGTGCAGTGGCGCAATCTTGGCTCACTGCAACCTTGGCCTCCCAAGTTCAAGCGATTCTCCTGCCTCAGCCTCCAGAGTAGCTGGGATTACAGGCGCGCACCACCACGCCTGGCTAATTTTTATATTTTTAGTAGAGAGGGGGTTTCACCATGTTGGCCAGGCTGGGATCGAACTCCTGACCTCGAGTGATCTGACCTCCTCGGCCTCCCAAAGTGCTGGAATTACAGGCAAGAGCCACTGCGCCCTGCCGGAATAGATATTTTAACTGGAGATGAGTTTTATTGGGGTGGGGAGTGCCCCAGAGGCTGCACTGCGGGGAGATCACTGAAGGCACCTTGGGGCATTGGAGGCTCTGGCCTGGGAGACTGAGGACTCCCCTTGGGTCGAGGAAGGGAGATGCAGCTGGAGAGAGGACACCTGGACACCTGCCCAATCCAGTGACGTCAGCCTCATTCGCTGTCAGAAGGGTGCGGGGCCTCGGGGGCGGAGTCTCTCCCGCCTCTGCCCTCGGTCTAGTCTGGCCACCTTCCCAGTCTGGTGGGTGCAGATGTGCAGAAGCCTGGGTCGGGAGGCACCAAGCGCGGGTAAGACCTGTAGCAGGCCAGCTGGGGACGCCAGCGGGGCGGGGTAGCTGGGCGTGGCGGCCGCGGCGAAGCTGGGGGACTTGAACAGCCTGTCTTGTCTTGGCCCTGACCTCCAGATGGCGCCGCCAGACACAGATCGACGTTAAGGCCGCGTCGCCCTTGGCCTCTGGCTGGAGAGCCCCCTACGGCCTAATGCGGGTGGTAGAGGAGCTGCTAGAGGGGCTCCGGGCCATGGCCAGGAACAGAGAGACCTCCCTATGTGAGCCCCCTGAGACCCTGACCGTGGGCCCTGCCGCTCCTCCCAGCACCCCTATGACATTAGCCATGGGGAGCCGAGATTAGCTGATGGATTCTTAAATACTAAAGGGTCTCCTGAGCATAAAATGGGCACTGGTGACACTGCTTCCACGGGACGGTTAGTTTCTAGTAAAAACAACTTCTTCACCGCGCATGATGGCTCATGTCTGTAATCCTGACATTTCGGCAGGCCAAGGTGGGGAGAATTGCTTGAGCCCAGGAATTCAAGACCAACCTGGGCAATATAGTGAGACCCCATCTCACTCTCTCTCTCTATTTTTTTTTTTTTTTTGGTGGTTGTTTTTTTGTTTTGTTTTGTTTTTTAGACGGAGCCTTGCTCTGTAGCCCAGGCTGGAATGCAGTGGCGTGGTCTCGGCTCATTGCAACCTCCACCTCCCGGGTTCAAGCGATTCTCGTGCCTCCACCTCCTGAGTAGCTGAGATTACAGGTGTGTGCCACCATGCCCAGCTAATGTTTTTGTATTTTTAGTAGGGAGACGGGGTTTCACCATGTTGGTCAGGCTGGTCTCAAACTCCTGACCTTAAATAATCCACCTGTTTTGGCCTCCCAAAGTGCTGGGGTTACAGGCGTGAGCCACTGCACCCAGCCATGAGACCCTCTTTCTAAAAAAATGATAATAATAATTTTAGGCTGGGCGCAGTAGCTCACGCCTGCAATCCCAGCACTTTGGGAGGCCAAGGAGGGTGGATCACCTCAGGTTAGGAGTTTGTGACCAGCCTGGCCGACATGGTGAAACCCTGTCTCTACTAAAAATACAAAAATTAGCCGGGCATGGTGGTGGGCGCCTGTAATCGCAGCTACTAGGGAGGCCGAGGCAGGAGAATCGCTTGAGCCTGGGAGGCAGAGGTTACAGTGAGCCGAAATTGCATCACGGCACTCCTGCCTGGGCGACAGAATGAGACTCTGTCCCAAAAAAAAAAAAGAAAAAATAAATAATAATTAAATTAACTGGCCATAGTGCCATGCACCTATAAGTCCCAGCTAGTTGGGAGGCTGAGGTGGGAGTATTGCTTGAGTACAGGAGTTTGAGGCTGCAGTGAGCTGTGATTGCATCACTGCACTCCAGCCTGGTTAACAAAGCAAGACCTTGTCTCAAAACAAAACAAAATTCAACAAAACAAATCTTGCCTTATCCACTTCTGTGGCCAGGACACACTGGTGTGGAAACCCTCCTTCCCCACCAAGTTCACATCCTGCCCGGCCCCCCAGGTTCCACCTGCAGTCACTGTTATCCCTCTAGCCCAGAACTAACCCAGCCTCCACCCCTTGTCATCCCTTTGTTTCCAGGATAACAAGCTTCTCCACTTCCCTTGTGCCCCGCCCTTTCCTCAGCCTGGGGACCAGTAGAAAAAGTGTGGGGCATTTCGAGGTTTTTCTCAGGTTTAAGGACTGGCAAGGTGTGTCTGTGGTAGTAACTTGTGGGGAAGGGACTGGGCCCTGATTCTCAGGGCTCTGCTCTCAGTCTAGGCTACATTTTATTTAATTTTAATATTTATTTATTTATTTATTTATTCATTTGTTTATTTTGTTTTGTTTTTTGTTTTGTCTTTAGTTTAGTTTTTTGAGGAGTTTCGCTCTTGTTGCCCAGGCTGGAGTGCAGTGGCGTGATCTCGGCTCATTGCAACCTCTGCCTCCCAGGTTCAAGCGATTCTCCTGCCTCAGCATCCCGAGTACCTGGGATTACAGACACCTGCCACCACACCCCGCTAATTTTTGTATTTTTAGTGGAGACGGGGTTTCACCATGTTGGCCAGGCTGGTCTCAAACTCCTGATCTCGGGGGATCCACCCGCCTTAGCCTCCCAAAGTGCTGGGATTACAGGCATGAGCCACCGGGCCTGGCCTTAATTATTTTATTTATTTTTATTTGTGTTTTTTTTTTTTTTTTTTTTTTTTTTTTTTTTTGAGACAGATTCTCACTCTGTTGCCCAGGCTGGAGTGCAGTGGTGAAATCTTGACTCACTGCAACCTCCGCCTCCCAGGTTCAAGAGATTCTCCTGTCTTACCCTCCCGTGTAACTGGGACTACAGGCACCTGCCACCATACCTGGCTAATTTTTGTATTTTTATTAGAGATAGGGTTTCACCATATTGGTCAGCTGGTCTCGAACTCCTGACCTCGTGTGATCCACCCGCCTCGGCCTCCTAGAGTGCTGGTATTACAGGCGTGAACCACCACGCCTGGCTATAATTTATTTTATTTTTGAGACAGTGTCTTGCATGTCACCCAGGCTGGAGTGCAGTGGTGCAATCATGGCTCCCTGCAACTTCTGCTTCCCAGGCTCAAGTGACCCTCCCACCTCAGCATCCCAAGTAGCTGGAACTACAGGCATGTGCCATCAAACCTAGCCAGTTTTCCATATTTTTGGTAGAGATGGGGCTGGTCTCGAACTTCTGTGCTCAAGTGATCTGCCTGCCTCAGCCTCCCAAAGTGTTGGGATTACAGGCGTGAGCCACCACGCCCGGCCGCAGCCTCAGCTTCTTGAGCATGCATGATTCCTGGCTGCCATGGCAACCCGACACTTCTGGATCATGATGGGTGACCAACTGTGTGGCCACCCCCTGGACCTTATGAGGTCGGAGGCCACTGGATGGGCTTTGCTGGACATAGACCCTCCCCACCAGCTCCTTCACACAACGAGACCTCCCCTAACCATGGGTTGCCCATCTACTTCCCCACACAGATGGACCCTGCTCCCATCCCAGGGCTTCTGACTCTCCACGTGTCTCACACCACTGGACCTCTCTCCTCCTGCCTCTGCCCTTGTTTCCCTTGGCAACTCTCTGGGCATGTAGAGGCTCTCTCCAGGGGAAGATAGACCAAATCCTTCCCTCATGGGTCCGCAGACCCTCCGATTCCAGCCCCCCAGAGATGGGGATACTGCCAAGGTAAAGGTTTTGGGGGAGACCCTCAAGGGATAGGGTAGTCTGGGCCTGAGGTTCAGCCTGTGTTTGTTTCCTGTGACTGTTGAAATTGTACAGATTGCCAAATGCTATATCCTATGCCTCCTGAATTCTGATTTGGGGATCAGGAAGGAGGTTGCTGGGAAGCAGAGGTGAGTCATGACCCGGGCTCAGGCCCCATCAGTGAGGTTAGTCTCTTTTTAAAAATTTAATTTAATTTATTTATTTTTGTAGAGACAGTCTCTCTCTGTTGCCCAGGCTGGTTTGAAACTCCTGGCCTCAAGTGATCCTTCTTCCTTGGCCTCTCTTAAGTGCTGGGATTACAGGTGTGAGCTATGGTACCCATTGCCCTCTAGAGGAAGGCAGACCCAGCCTGCAATCCCAGCATTTTGGAAGGCCGAGGCCGGAGGATTGCTTGAGCCCAGGAGTTTGAGACCAGCCCGGGTAACATGGCAAGACCCTGTCTTTACAAAAAAAAAAAAAATTACCTGGGTGTGGTGGCATGTGCCTGTAGTTCCAAGCTACTCAGGAGGCTGAGGTGGGAGGATCACTTTATCCCCAGAGGTCAAGGCTGCAGTGAGCCATGATCGTACCAATGCATTCCAGCCTGGGTGACAGAGTGAGACTATCTCCAAGAAAAAAATAAAAATAATTAAAAAAAAATCTAGAGGAAGGCAAAGGGTCTGGATGGCAGTGTGTGAGCAACATTCACCTGGTCAGTGAAGCTGAGCAGAACTGCCCTGCTCAGACCTGAACTGGCCCGAGACAGAGACAGAAAGGGGCAGGGCAGGCTGGGCACGGTGGCTCACACCTGTAATCCCAGGACTTTGGGAGGCTGAGGCAGGTGGATCACCTGAGGTCAGGAGTTCGAGACCAGCCTGGTCAACTTGGCGAAACCCTGTCTCTAATAAAAATATACAAATTAGCCAGGTGTGGTGGTGTGCACCTATAGTCCCAGCTACTTGGGAGGCTGAGGCAGGAGAATTGCTTGAACTGGGAAGCAGAGGTTTCAGTGAGCCGAGATTGTGCCACTGTACTCCAGCACTCTAGCCTGGGAGACAGTGAGACTCTGAAAAAAAAAAAAAAAAAAAAAGAAAGAAAAAGGAAAAGGAAAAAGAAAAGAAAAGAAAAGAAAAAAGAAAAGAAAAGAAAAGAAAAGAAAAGAAAAGGCAGTCTCAGACTCCCAGAGAGGAGAACAGCAAGTTTCTGTTCCACCTACTTCCTTCAAAGGCTTCCTCCAGGAAGCCTTTCCATCCTCCAGGCAGAGCTGACCCACCCTTCACAGAGCTGGGGCTGGTGTTTAATCTGCACAGGCTGCATGGAGTTTGGCATCCTCTTTCCAGGCGCCTGGCCTGGCCTGGATGTTAGAGCTCATGCTGCACCCTGGGACGGGGAAAGCTGGCTCCACTCAGAGGTGTCTATGCCACTCCCAGGCCCCAGCAAATAGTAGGTGTCAGTGAGCGGGCGAGAGGCATGTCTTCTGCCTCCTGGGACTCTGAGCTTCCTAGAATTGGGGCCACATTTCCTGCCTTATCTGCTTTCTCCACCAAGCAGGGCTGGGGCTGGAGGGGGCACGTGTGGGGCCAGCCAGCAGGGGCCCGAGGCGAAAGGGTCTGAACCCCCTGCCTCGGAGCCTACCGGCAGAGACCAGGGGCCTTTCATGTCCCAGCATCCCCGGCATCCCGCTCATCTGCTGCAGAAACAATGAACATGGGAACAGGACAGGATGTCCCAGAGGTCGTCCAGAGGAGGAGAGGACAGGCTGAGAGTCAAAGGTGGGGAAGCAGGAAGGACGGAGGTCAATGGCACACGTGCCATGATCTCATCAGCTCCTGAAAAACAATGACTCGACCTTCTGAGGGCCCCAACTGAGCTCGGGCAACCACATGAGGCCAGTCATTTCCTCAGTGTTCAGATAAGGAAGTGGGGGGGCTCTTAGAGGAAAGGGAATGATCTTCAGGTCACATGGTCACTAGGCACTGGAGCTGGGACTGAAACCCAGGGAGACAGAGGAGAGACAGGCCAGGGCTGGGAGGAGGCAGAGGCAAGAGCTTCGGCCTTCTCATTTCTAAGCTTGGATTCCCAGGAGTCCATTCAAATGTGAAAAAAATAGATTTTTATTTATCTAGAGAGAGAGTCTCGCTTTTTGCCCAGGCTGGAGTGCCATGGTGTGATCATAACTCACTATAGCCTTGACCTGGGCTCAAGTGATCCTCCCACCTCAGCCTCCTGAGTAGCTGAGACTATAGGTGTGTACCATCATGCCCAGATACTTTCTTAAATTTTTGGTAGAGATGGGGTCTCTCTATGTTGCCCAGCCTGGTCTCCAACTCCTGGGCTCACGTGATCCTCCCGCCTTGGCCTTCCAAAGTACTGAGATTACAGGCATGAGCCATTGTGCCTGGTTTATTTATTTATTTTTAGAGACAGGGTCTTGCTCTGTCACCCAGACTGGAGTGAAGTGGCACAATCATAGCTCAGTGCAGCCTCAAATTCCTGGGCTCAACAGATCCTCCTGCCTCAGCCAACGAAGTAGCTAGAACTGCAGGCATACACCACCATGCCTGGCTAACTTTTTAAATTTTTTTAGAGATGGGGTCTTGACCAGCCCAGGCTGGTCTTGAACTCCTGGGCTCAAGTGATCCTCTGGCCTCAGCCTCCTGAGTAGCTGGGACTATAGGTGCACACCACCATACTCAGCTAAATTTTTTGTGTTTTTATTGTAAAGATAGGGTTTCACCATCTTGCGCAGGCTGGTCTCAAATGCCTGTCCTCACATGATCCTCCCGCCTGGGCCTCCCAAAGGGCTGAGATTACAGATGTGAGCCACTGCAACCAGCCTGATAGCAGAACCTGCTTTTCTTCTACCAGCCTCTCTTGGACTGTGGAAAAACCTCACACCAGCATCTCCCTGTCCAATCCAGAGGCTTCCATGGAATCACTCTCCACCCCAAGACCCCCCAACATCTCCTGTGTGTCCAACCTCATTGAGTAACAGACCATCTGCTGCTTCCCCCATCCCCATCCATCTCCCCAAGGTCCTGGGCATTGGTCCCCTGCTAAGGAGATCTGTCAGGACCTGCCTCCTAGAGTGAGGCTGGCGATTTCTGCATACATTTCCCCTATCCGTGGCTCCCTTTTCCTGGGTTATGGCCCCATCTTCCGTGCCTCCACGCCCTTTCTTTCTACCTCCAGCTATCTCTGACCAGCCTGTCCCTGGGCTCTTTGAGGCCCCAACCACTGGCATCAATCAGTCTTCTATGCCCAGTGTAGACATCAAGGACATCTCCCCAGCAAGCTCAGGCCTTCAGCCCGACATTCTCCTCCTTGCTGTGCTCAGCTCCATTGAATTCTCCATCCTCCACCCCACCCTGCAAATCTGTTTATCTTCGCTTTTCTGGTTTCTTTCATTTTCCTCTGCCTCACCCAGATTCCAGACAAATTCTTATTTACTTATTTATTTGAGACACAGTTGCTGGCGGCTCACTGCAACCTCTGCCTCCCGAGTTCAAATGATTCTCATGCCTCAGCCTCCCGAGTATTTGCAGGCATGTGCCAGCACGTACAGCTAAAGTCTTTTTCTTTTCTTTTTTTTTTTTTTGAGATGGAGTCTTGCTTTGTCACCCAGACTGGTATGCAGTGGCGCGATGTGGGCTCACTGCAACCTCCACCTCCTGGGTTCAAGCAATCCTCCCACCTCAGCCTCCCAAGCAGATGGGATTACAGGCCTGTGCTACCACATACGGGTAATTTTTGTATTTTTAGTAGAGACGGGGTTTCACCATGTTGGCCAGGCTGGTCTTGAACTCCTGACTTCAAGTGATCCACCCACCTGGGCCTCCCAAAATGCTGAGATTACAGGCGTGAGCCACAACACCTGGCCTGGATTATGTACAAATTCTTCTGAATGAGACTCTGTCCCCTGCCTCCAACTTTTCTGCATCCCAGCGGCTGGCATCATCCCATGTCCCAGAGACTTCACACACGCCTAATGGGGCTCATCCCAGCCCTCCTGTTCCTCAGCCTGCTGCCAGGGAGGCCAGGTTCAGGGTCAGTGTGTCGGCCTGCAGCCCGATGTGTGCCCTCCTCCCTGGATCTCTTCCTTCTGGGTTGGGACGAAGGCATGAAGGTGGTTTGGAGTCATGAGTTCAGGCTGAGACACGTCAGACCTACCTGACCTGCTGGGGGCTTCACCCTGCCAGCCTCCGAGATGCAGTAGGATGAGAACATGCACTCTGGGGATAGGAGCCTGGATGTGTGTGTGTCTGGAGGGTTGGCCGTTCCCATCTTCCAGCGTGTCTCATGTGACAGGGGCCAGTGTGGAAGTGTCTCTGGGTTGGCCCTTAGGCATAGGCCAGTTTGAGAATAGGAGACAGGAGGTGAGGGGTCGCTGTAGGTGGGGTTTGCAGAGGGTGGTTAATTAGAGTTTTGCTGTCTCTCTGATCTTTCTTGGCCCTATTTGGGGGTGACTTCCGGGATGGAGGCCTTGCTCCTCCCCCGCCCCCAACCCTGGCAGGTCTTCTCGTGTCCTCTGTAGCAGTCTCAGCCACACCATGCAGTGGACCACTGCGTTGGAGGCATCCTACCCCTTCTCAAGGACATGGTCCCTTGAAGGACCCTAGATGCTGACCTGTCTCCTGTCCCACCTAGCCCACCCATAGCACCTGGCTCAGCAGCAGCTCAGGGATGACCTTGAATGACCCCTTCCAGCACCGACACTTGCTTTCTTCAAACTAGCATCCAGGTCTGGGATTACCCCACTTAGCAGCCTCAGATAACTAAAGGAGCATCTCTAACTGGTGAGGTCTAACCCAATCAAAAGTCTTATAATAAATAATATTTAAGAGATGGGTGTTGCTCTGTCGCCGAGGCTGGAGTGCAGTGGTGTGATCATAGCTCACTACAGCCTCGAAGTCCTAAGCTCAAGGGATCCTCCCACCTCAGCCTCCCCAGTACCTGGGACTACAGGCATGCACCACCACGCCTAGCTAATTTTTAATTGTTTTATAGAGATGGTGTCTCACTATGTTGCCCAGGCTGGTCTTGAACTCCTGGCCTCAAAGGAATCCTCCTGCCTCTGCCTCCCAAAGTGCTGGAATTACAGGCATGAGTCACCGTGTCCCAGCCTTTCTTTTCTTTTTTTTTTCTGAGACAGAGTCTCACGCTGTTGCCCAGGCTGGAGTGCAGTGGTACCATCTTGGCTCACTGCAACCTCTGCCTCTCAGGTTCAAGTGATTCTCATGCCTCAGCTTCCCGAGTAGGGGATTACCCGCATGTGCTGCCATGCCCAGGTAATTTTTTGTAGTTTTAGTAGATAAAGGTTTCACTGTGTTGCCCCAGTTGGTCTCGAACTCCTAGCCTCAAGAGATCTGCCCGCTTTGGCCTCCCAAAGTGCTGGAATTATAGGCATGAATCACCACGCCCTGTCTTCCTCTCCGCTTTTTTTTTTTTTTTTTGAGACAGAGTCTCGCTCTGTCACCCAGGCTAGAGTGCAGCGGCGCAATCTTGGCTTACTGCAACCTCTGCCTCCCGGGTTCAAGCGATTCTCCTGCCTCAGCCTCCCGAGTAGCTGGGACTACAGATGCCCGCCACCACGCCCAGCTAGGTTTTTGTCCCCTTTTCTTTTTAAGAGGAAAAGCAATTCCTGGCCTCCCAGCCTGGGCCAGCCAAAATAACTTAGGAAGAATGTGGGCAGGCCCAAGGCCTCTCACCTCCCTCACCTCCACCTTCCAATCCTTACACTGGTACTGTTTTCTTTTTAAAAAATTATTATTATTATTATTATTTGAGACGGAGTTTTGCTCTTGTTGCCCAGGCTGGAATGCAATGGTGCGATCTCTGGCTCACCACAACCTCTGCCTCCTGGCTTCAAGCAATTATCTTGCCTCAGCCTCCCGACTAGCTGGGATTACAAGCATGCGCCACCACACCCGGCTAATTTTGTATTTTTAGTAGAGAGGGGGTTTCTTCATGTTGGTCAGGCTGATCTCAAATTCCCAACCTCAGGTGATCTGCCCGCCTTGGCCTCCCAAAGTGCTGGGATTACAGGCGTGAGCCACCATGCCAGGCCCTGTTTTCTTTTTTTTTTTTTTTTTTTGAGACGGAGTCTCGCTCTGTCGCCCAGGCTGGAGTGCAGTGGCCGGATCTTAGCTCACTGCAAGCTCCGCCTCCTGGGTTCACGCCATTCTCCTGCCTCAGCCTCCCGAGTAGCTGGGACTACAGGCGCCCGCCACCTCGCCCGGCTATTTTTTTGTATTTTTTAGTAGAGGCGGGGTTTCACCGTGTTAGCCAGCATGGTCTCCATCTCCTGACCTCGTGATCCGCCCATCTCGGCCTCCCAAAGTGCTGGGATTACAGGCTTGAGCCACCGCGCCCGGCCAACATTTTTTTTTTCTTGTGACAGGGTCTCACTCTGCCACCCAGGCTGGAGTGCAGAGGTGAGATCCTGGCTCACTGCAACCGCCGCCTCCTGGGTTCAAGTGATTCTCATGCCTCAGCCTCCTGAGTAGCTGGGACTATGGGACTACAGGCACGTGCCACCAAGTCTGGCTAATATTTTGTACTTTTTAGTAGAGACGAGGTTTCGCCATGTTGCCCAGGCTGGTCTCGAACTCCTGAGCTCAGGCAACTTGCCCACCTCGGCCTCCTAAAGTGCTGGGATTACAGGCTTGAGCCACTGCGCTCAGCCTTGATACTTTTCAATTTAAGGTAAAATACAGCATGATTTATTAACTTTTTTTTTTTTTTTTGGAGACAGAGTCTAGCTCTGTCACCCAGGCTGGAGTGTAGTGGCACAATCTTGGCTCACTGCAACCTCCATCTCCTGAGTTCAAGTGATTGTCCTGCCTCAGCCTCCTGAGTAGTTGGGGCTACAGGTGCCTGTCACCACACCCAGCTAATTTTTTTGTATTTGTATTTTATTTTATTATTATTTTTTGAGGCAGAGTCTCACTGTTACCTATGCTGGAGTCCAGTTGCACGATCTCAGCTCACTGCAACATACGCCTCCTGGGTTCAAGCAATTCTTGTGCCTCAGCTTCCCAAGTAGCTGGGATTACAGGTGTGCACCATTACGCCTGGCTAATTTTTGTATTTCTTTTTTTTTTTTTGAGGCGGAGTCTCGCTCTGGAGTGCAATGGCGTGATCTCAGCTCACTGCAAGCTCCGCCTCCTGGGTTCACACCATTCTCCTGCCTCAGCCTCCTGAGTAGCTGAGACTACAGGCGCTCACCACCATGCCTGGCTAATTTTTTTTTTTTTTTTTTTTTTTTTTTTTTAGTAGAGACGGGGTTTCACCGTGTTAGCCAGGATGGTCTTGATTTCCTGACCTCGTGATCCGCCCACCTCGGCCTCCCAAAGTGCTGGGATTACAGGCGTGAGCCACCGCGCCCAGCCAATTTTTGTATTTTTAGTAGAGACAGGGTTTCACCATGCTGGCCAGGCTGGTCTTGAACTCCTGACCTCGAGTGATCCACCCGCTCTGGCCTCCCAAAGTGCTGGGATTACAGGCGTAAGCCACCGTGCCTGGCCTGATTTTTAAAAACTTTTTAATATAATCATATAAAATGTGTACATTTCCAAAGTCAGATATAAAAAACAAAATATATTCAGAGGAATCTAGACTCTGTCTTTCATTCTATTCTCTCCCTATGTCACCATTAAAAATTTTTAATTTATACTCCCAGTTTAAAAAGTTATATTTGTACCTAGCTATTTCTTTTCACAACTGAACAACAGAGATAATAGACATACTTTCTTGTTCTTAACTTTAGCAGGAAAGCCTCTAGTGTTTCACCATTGAGATCTTCCTTTAAAATCCTTTTTGTAAAATATGGGCTATGCTATCCATTCTATCTGATGTTCCACAGCACTTCCTGGAAAGATAAAATGAACAATGTGGAAACTCTCATAATGAAAAGTGGTACACAAACATGCCTGTTGACTGAGCATCAATCAATTCCAGGAAAGCCTCAAGATTCCTGAACCTTTTTGAAGCACTTTGGAGAGTTTAAAAAAAAAAGAGTAAGAAAGGATTCCTGAACCCACTTCCACTTATATTTTACACAAAAATAAACGGAGGCTTGCAGAATTGAGGGAACCTGCCCCAAGTAACATAAGGAGCAGGTGGGAGGTCTCATTTCCTTTTCTGCAGTTTAGGAGTCTTCTGCTACCTGGAAAAGCTCAGGGCCCAGGATAAATCCACTGACATTAAAAATGAAGAAAACTGAACTCAAGGTTGGGTGCAGTGGCTACTGCCTGTAATCCCAGCACTTTGGGAGGCCAAGGCAGGTGAACCACTTGAGGTCAGGAGTTCGAGACCAACCTGGCCAACATGGTGAAACCCTGACTCTACTAAAAATACAAAAAAATTAGCCGGGCGTGGTGGTAGGCGTTTGTAATCCCAGCTACTTGGGAGGCTAAGGTGGGAGAATTGCTTGAACACGGGAGGTAGAGGTTGCAGTGAGCTGAGATTGTGCCACAGCCTCCAGCGTGGGCCACAGAGCGAGACTCCATCTCAAAAAACAAACCAAAACATTGAATTCACAATACAGAGTTTTTTGTTTGTTTGTTTCTGAGACAGGGTCTTGCTCTGTCGCCCAGGCTAGGGCGACAGAGCTCACTGCAGCCTGGAACTCCTAGGCTCAAGTGATCCTCCCGCCTCAGCCTTCCCAGTAGCTGGGACTACAGGCGAGCACCACCACCACGCCCGGCTAAAATTAAATTTTTTTGGTAGAGATTGGGATTGGTGGTGTGGGGTCTCGGTATGTTGCCCATGTTTGTCTCTAACTCAGGGTTTCAAGCGATCTTCCCGACTCGGCCTCCCAAAGAATTGGAATTGCAGGAATGCGCCACCGCACCCGTTCCAGGTATCTACTTTTTATACAAATTAATATTTCAGGGAACTCTCGAAAGTAAAAGTAGTCACAAAAAGCTGCAAGAGTTGCTGTGTTCCAGGACGGAGTCCGGGGTGGGGTCGGGGACCCCCACCCGCACTCATACAGGGAAGCTCTGGTCCGAGTTTGGAGGCAACGGAACACCGGAAATGCTGTGGAGGTCCGAGTGAGGTCAGGGCACACCGGACGGTTACCTTAAAGCTGCCAGGCGCGGTGGCTCACGCCTGTAATCCCAGCACTTTGGGAGGCCGAGGTGGGCGGATCACGAGGAGTTCGAGACCAGCCTGACCAACATGGTGAAACCCTGTCTCTACTAAAAATACAAAAATTAGCCGGGCGTGGTGGCGCGCGCCTGTAATCCCAGCTACTCAGGAGGCTGAAGCAGGAGAATCTCTTGAACCTGGGAGGCGGAGGTTGCAGTGAGCCGAAATCGCGCCCCTGCACTCCAGCCCGGACTACAGAGAGAGGTTCAGTCTTAAAAAAAAAAAAATGCTGCCCCATTTGGCGCCCCAGGAATGAGGACTGACACACTGGGCACTGGGCATCGCAGCACTAGCCGGACTAAGATTCCTCTGGGCAACTCAGCCATAGCAGAGTTTTCAAGAGGAGGAGTGGCCCTGATGAGGACCCGTAAGGCTTCAACCGTTCCCAAAACACCTCAAAAACACTTCGGCTTAGGGGTGGTGCCAAGGCTGTGAGTGCGTCCAACACTTCGGCTTGGGGGTGGTGCCAAGGCTGTGAGTGCGGAAGCCCGCCGGGAACCTGGGGGCGGGGCGAGGGAAATGACGCCTGGGAGCGCCAATAGGGTGGGTGGAGCCGCTGACTCCGCCCCCGAAGGAAAGGGTTAACGGTTTCCGGTAGCGGCGTCTAGGAGGGGCGGGGGAAATGAGGAGGTTTTGAGGCTGTGTCCCCTGACCCTTGGACCGCCTGCGACCCCCCCCCCCGCATCTCCGCACCCTCAAGACACCTCCAAAGATGATGGGCTGTGGAGAGTCAGAGCTGGAGTTGGCGGACGGGGAAGATGCCGCGGCGGTCTCGGGACCACCCCCGGAGCCCCGAGCCCCGGAACCCCGAGCCCCACTGCCCGAGCCCGGCCTGGACTTGAGCCTGAGCCCGCGGCCCGACAGTCCTGAGCCGCGTCACGGCAGCCCCGGGCGGCGGGAGCATCGGGGCGCGGCTCGGCAGCGACGGCAGGTGAGCGTGGGAGGCTGGCCCCCGGTCTGCGACGGCCTCGCGTCCACCTAGTCACCCCACTGCCCTCTGCTCCCAGGTCCGTTTCCGCCTGACGCCGCCCTCCCCGGTGCGGTCCAAGCCGCAGCCTGCGGTGCCGCAGGAGCTGGAGATGCCCGTGCTGCAGAGCAGCCTGGCCTTGGGCCTGGAGCTGCGGGCCACAGCCGGGAGCCACTTTGATGCCGCGAAGGCCGTGGAGGAACAGCTAAGAAAGTCGTTCCAGATCCGCTGCGGCCTGGAGGAGAGCGTGTCCGAGGGTGAGGGGGGCGGGCGGCCGGCCGCGCGCGGGAGTCGGAGCGAGGGGCGCCACTCACCTCCGCCCCCGCTGCGCTCTCAGGGCTGAACGTGCCGCGCTCCAAGCGGCTCTTCCGGGACCTGGTGAGCCTGCAGGTGCCGGAGGAACAGGTTTTGAACGCTGCGCTCAGGGAGAAATTGGCTCTCCTGCCGCCACAGGCTCGAGCCCCGCCCCCAAAGGTGATGGGGTCTGGGCGTGGGGCTTCCTCCATGTACTCCCTTACCCGGATTCTTCCTCCTAGAGTGTAACCTTGCTTTGGGCCCCACCTCCCAACAGGAGCCACCTGGTCCGGGGCCAGACATGACCATCTTGTGTGACCCAGAAACACTATTTTATGAATCTCCACACCTGACCCTGGACGGTCTGTCCCCTCTCCGGCTTCAACTCCGGCCCCGCCCTTCAGAGGACACCTTCCTCATGCACCGGACACTGAGGCGATGGGAAGCGTAGTAGACCCCAAAGATCCCTGGCGGGCTAGTTCGTATTTTTCTGTTAAACTATTTGTTAGAATAAACTAATTTTCCTAATAAATGAGACTCTTCTTGGAGGCCTAAAATGGGGTTAAAAGCTCTCTGGGGGTTATCCACTTAGCCTCAGGTTGGAAGCTGCCTGGAAGTTGAGTTTGGGGGCCTTTCTGGAACTTAGGAGAGTCATGGCAAGTGAAAACACCTCCACATTAGAGGTTTACTTAGATACTCCTCCATTCACAACCTTACCTGCCTCTGACTCCAGCCACAGCTACTGCCTGTTTTTGATCACGCAGTGATTGTTCTCTTCATCACTTATTTTTTTTTGAGGCGGAGTTTCACTCTTGTTGCCCAGGCTGGAGTGCAGTGGATGGCACGATCTTGGCTCACTGCAACCTCCGCGTCCCAGGTTCAAGCAATTCTCCTGCCTCAGCCTTCCTAGTAGCTAGGATTATAGGCATGTGCCACCATGCCCAGCTAATTTTCTATTTTTAGTAAGAGACGGGGTTTCTCCATGTTGGTCAGGCTGGTCTTGAACTCGCGACCTCAGGTGATCCGCCCACCTCTAATTTTGTATTTTTAGTAGAGACGGGGTTTCTCCATGTTGGTCAGGCTGGTCTCGAACTCGCGACCTCAGGTGATCCACCGGCCTTGGCCTCCCAAAGTGTTGGGATTACAGGCATGAGCCATCGCGTGTGGCCTCATCACTTATTCTGATCTCCCAAAATGCAGGGCCCAGCCTATCACACTTCACGGAGGCCTTCCTTGATTACCTGTCTCAAGGAGCTTGCAACCCATCTGTTTGCACTGAGTTAATGAAATTATCTCCTTGCTTTTTACCTTGAAGAGCCTTGCCCATCCTGTTTACACCTGACCTGAATACTCAGTATGTTCGAAGTTCCAGTAACACCTAACAAGCCCCCGAAGAGCTTCATGTTGTTAATTGCCTGTAAGTCTCATTCCACAGCACAAAAAAGGTGCTGGTCTGTCCCTGAGCATTTGATCCAAAGCACTTTTGCCTGCCTCCACCGCCACCTCTTTACAAGTTAGCCTTCCGGCTGGGTGCGGTGGCTGGCACCTATAATCCTAGCACTTTGGGAGGCTGAGGCGGGTGGATCACCTGAGGTCAGGAGTTTTGAGACCAGACTAGTCAACATGGTGAAACTCCGTGTCTACTAAAAATACAAAAAATTAGCCGGGCATGGTGGCGCGTGCCTGTAATCCCAGCTACTTGGGAGGCCGAGGCAGGAGAATCACTTGAACCAGGGAAGGGGAGGTTGCAGTAAGCCGAGATCACACCACTGCTGTCCAGCCTGTCGACAGAACGAATCTCCATCTCAGAAAAACAAAAACCGAAAAGTTAGCCTTCTGCCCGAAGCCCGTACAGGGTTTTTCTGGGGAGGGAAGGCAGACTCCAAGTTCCACACCAAAATTTGCATTACACACCTTTTCCTGACTAGGCTTCTGTATACTTGCGTGTGGACTTGACTAGTGTTGAACAATCAACCCAACCACTGAAAAACTTGTCTTCCTTCAAACAGTAGAGAGAAACAACACAAGTTCTGGTGGGAGGCACCACCCATCCCCCACCAGCTAGATAGTACCCAACACAGGTGTGGGGGCCACTGCCCTAGACATCAAGTTTATTGTGCTGTTCTCACATTCAAAACCCAACCCCCTCTCCCACTGGGGGAGGACAGAGGGAAGGATTTTCACAGTACCTGCGTGCCTCCCTGCCAGGCTTCCCCCTCGAACCCTCAGTCCATCTATCCATGGTCCACTGAAATGCAGCTAGGGACAAGAGCTAGGGACAACAGCCGAGGAGAAATGGGAATCTCTCTCCTTGGGAGAATAGGAGGAAAGGGCTAGAGAATTTGATATCCTCCCACCTCCCATGCCCTAAGAGAACAGAGGTCAGCAAACAGTCCATGCCATCCAGCCTGGGAGGCTGGGGGAGAGGAAGATAATGGTGACTCCAGCACAGCCAGCCTTGCTGCACAGGTGCCAGAGGCGTACGTAGGGAGGAGGCTGAGGCAGCGATGGAAGAAAAGCTTTCTTTGCAGATCCAAGAAAGGAAACTATTTTTGGAGTCAGGAAAGACCCTGGGACACTTTCCTCTTCCCCCAGGTCCTTAGGAGCAGCAAGGGCATCCTCTTCACACTTTCCGTTCAGGGGGCCACTTAGTGGCTGGGGGATCGGGCCTTGTGGAACAGGTACACAGGACGCTGGAAGCCTGAGGGGAGAGGGAGTGATCAGAAGGGGTTGGCAGCACCTCAAGAATCCCCATGGGGGTCTGCACTCTTTTAGCCAGGAGCGGCCTCCCTGACAAAATAAACCAGCCTTACCTTTAGAGGTGTTGTGGGGTGTGGCCACAAGCTCATAGCTGGAGAAGCCCACGTCTGGGGATGTCAGGTAGGAACTGAACTGCTCTGGCTTCAGTTGGATTCGGTAGTAGTTCTTGTAGATTGTTTCCTAAGGAGAGAGGCAAGGGACCACACTTCAGCACACTGCCACCTCCCCTGGCCAAGGGTGATGCCCACCTCGGGGTCTTTTCTTGCCTCAACCAAAGGAAGGATTATTTCCTCCACACCCAACTCACCGTAAGGGTCTTTCTCTTGCCATATGACGACCAGGGTTGGGGCTCTAGGACCAGGATGCCTCCAGGGCGTAGGTGCCGGTAGATCCGGCGAAACATGCGCTTCAGGCCCTCATCTCCCCAGTTCAGATGCACCCACTTGGTGAGGCTGAGGCAGAGCACCACATCATACTCAGGTGTTTGGGCCTCCACCAGGTCATCTCGATCCAGCACATAATTACCCTGAGGGCAAGTATCAGCAGGCAGTGAGGTCAACGGAGGGAATCGAAGAACCCCTGCTCCCAGGCAACCTGCTCTGAGGCCGACACAGTCCTGCCGCCTCACTTTAGCCCGTGGCCACGTTCTTCTCAGACTAACTCCCAAAAGGTGCCTGCACTCTGAGTTTTGTTTTCTCCTCTACACCTTCCTGCCTCTGCTTCTTCCTACTGATGGTAAGCCAAAAATGTTGAGGGAGCCGGAGTAATTTTAAATGTTGCAAATTATCCATGAGGTCTTCTAAAGCTGGGGTCCCAGGACCGTATCCTGTGCTTATTCTCACCCACAGACATTAAGTGGAGTGACTGCAGGTTTTGCAAGGGTAACCAACCCAGGTTTCAAAGGCAGACCTGTGGTTCCTTCCCTGCAGTTGGGGCTGGCCAAGTTTCACGTCTATTCTTTCCTTTCTCTGAGAGAAATGAAGAGCCACATCCTTTAGGAAGCCTTTTCTAGAAGATAAGCTCATCACAACCCTCTAGAAAGACCATTCTTCAAGGCTTAACCCAATGCAATGCCAAAGATCCCAGCAGGCGGCCTAACTGGAGAGTTCTCTGGGGAGCTGTGTGGGGTCAGGGGACTCCGCAGGGCATGGGGCTCTCCTCTCTGCAGAGAAGTTTCTGGTTCTTCCCTCTCCCACTATCTAGGGTCAATGTGGAGAGGATCTACAGCCAAATCACTTGGGTTCCTGACACTCTTCAACAAACTGTCTAGAAAAACAAAAGCCGCTGATGGGAACAAGGTGGCTATCAAAGGGCAGAAACGCCAATATTAGTCTGCTGCTACCCTAATCCTCCTCCCTAGAAGACATTCCATGCCTGACCCCCATTCTCAGGCTCCTTCAGTCAATCTGAGGACCAAGTTCCACCTGGATCGAATTCCCTAGTGAGCAGCAGCCTTCAAGGGAAGGGAAGGTGGACCAGTGTGGATTATAGGCCAAGCCCAGAGCACTGCAAAAAAAAAAAGAGTCTTCCTTTATCTTGGAGATCCTTGCAGTCATGAGAAAGGACTCCAGGGCCAATACCCCAAGGTAGAGACCCCACCTTTCCAGGTTATAAGAGGGGAGGACCCCACCTTTTCAGGTTATAAGAGGGGAGAGATGCCCAGTAGAGACTCTCACTTGCCAACCCAGACCCCTCTTTTGAGGAACTGGATCATAACCTTCCCTGCCACATTCCCGTTTAAACTCATCTTCACACCTGACCCCTATTCCAAGAGCCTCTGGACCCTCTTACCGTGACGAAGACAACATTGTTGGGGAAGACTGATGTGTCCGCTCCATCCAAGGGCACTTGGGGGGCAGCGATGGGACCCCGGCTGGCAGTCAGCGAGGCTGGGAAGCAGCTCCTCTTTCGAACGGTGGTGGTCCCTTCCTCACCCTCTGCCCCCGGGTCCCCTTCCAAAGTCTGGGGTGGGAAACGCAGCTCCTCGGAAAGGTAGTGTCGGATGTTCTGACGGGCAGAATGGATGAGCCGGGAATCTATATCCAAGCCCACCATGCGGGACGGGCCCCACTTGCAGGCAATGCTCAGGGTCAGATGGCCCACATTGCAGCCCAGATCTAGGACGTCCCGGCCCCGAAACCACTCAGGCTTCAACACCCGAAGGCGCCCATCCTCACAGGAAGGATTGCGGTACCCATAGTATTTGCAGTAATTCCCATACTGGAACTTGCGCTGTTGCTTTTTGAAGCCTGCTGCAGGCAGTGGGTGGTGGTGGTGGTGACGGCCTCCCCAACTCCCTCGGCCCTTTTCCTTGGAACCCTGGCCTCCACCCCTAGCCCCTGCCTCCGACTTGCTGGAAGTCCTGCGACGTTTGCGATGTCGGGAGGAGGAAGATGGGGGTGCAGAGGTAACTGAGGCAGCTGGAGGGGCTGATAGGGAGCCTGAGGGACCCTGTAGAGCAGATGGAAGCGGAGACACCACTTCATCCCTGCAGTTGATGGCTGTGTTGAGTTCATAGGGTTGGGGGGCATCCCGGTTCTGGCCTCTGTGCCGCGGCTGCTGTGAGGCGCCCTCCCCGTGGAGTGAGGGGGTGAGAGGGGCTGTGGGCAGCACGGGGTGGCTCTCACTCCCTCCGGCTGCCTGCTGCTGCTGGTGGTGCTGTCCCCGGTGTCTATGCCGCTTCCGACCAGTCTTGAGTGGCGAAGCAAGAACTACATGGCCCTCATCAGTGCAAGTATTGAGACTGAGCGGGTCAGTAATATCTTTGGGGATGAGGATCTCCACTGGATCTCGCCCTTTGGCCGGAAGGGGGGATGACTTAGGGGTCTCTGCGTTGAGGGCGCGGCTCACTTCCTCATCCAGGAGGCTATTCAGGTTCAGGGGATCAAAGATATTGCCCCCCAGGAGGAAGTTGGAGGGTAACACAGAGTCACAGTCCGAATTCACCCGCCTGCGCCTCTTGAAGGCCGGATGTTTGAAGCCTCCCCCACCTCCCCCTACATTACAGCTATTTCTCCTCTTGCCCCCGCCCCCCCCCAGGTGGCCGGTGGGGCTGATAGCCATTGCGGGGTCGAGGAGGAGCAGGGGGACCCAGCTCTGTCCCGCCCCCTCCCCGGCGCTCCTCCCCCACGTCCGGGGGAGCGGCTCGCCCCGGGGGATCCGACAGGCGGGCCTCCCCATGCGACTGCTCCTGGGGGCCGCCTCCTCGGTGCTGCTGCGCCTGGGGACCACCGGGGGGGGTGGCCGCGGCCCCGGGGCTCTCTCGACCGACCCCAGCGGCCGGGGACCCCGCAGACTGCGCGCAAGAACCCGGACCACGCTCCGTCCCGCCGCAGAGCTCCCCAGAGGCGGCCTCTTGGTGCGGTGGCACAGTGGGGCCGCCCCCTCCGCCCGACTCATCTTTGAGCGGCGGCGGCGGGGCCGGCACCAGAAACGGCTCCTTCTCCGCCGCCATCTCGATCATTTCCTCCCCTTATTCCGTCCCAGTCGGGGTAACGAGGGGGATCAGGGGGCTTAACCCCCCCTGCCTGGACCCTGCTCCCTTCCCCCCCTTTCCCGAGTGCGCGCGCAGCTCTGCTCTTCTCGCCTAGTCTCGCGCCCAAGCGCCTCCCCGCGAAGTGCGCCCCACTGGCCCGCGAGACCAAAACAAGATGCCCGCGAGACCCGAACTACTCGAGCACTCAACCGCGCGTGCGCCGACCCCTTTCTCCTCCGCCACTACCACCCCGCCGCGAGCGCGCACGGCAAGCGCGCGTTCCCTCCGCCCCGGAACCACGCATGCGCACTCCGCCACCACCCTGGTTGCGCGCGCATCGGAGTACGAACCAACTTAACGGCTCTGGGAGTTTAAATATAACCCCCCACACAGCCCCCGCAAAAGCCCACCACCCCAAACTGATACCCTACTTCCCTGCGCAGCTAGGTCCGGCCCTACTGATCTCCTTTGTCTCTGCCGCGCGATCCCACCCACCGTAGGCGGGGGACGGGAGCTGGTGTGAAAAGGTCTCCTTGACACCCGACCCTTGTTCCTGAGGAATGAGTCTCAGCGGTCTCCACCCGGCTCTAAATCCAACAACCTCCCCACCCCGCCTCCTTCCTCCCCCTAGTGGGCAGCGCCTGCGCACACCCTTTTGGGCTTGCGCGGGTACAGGCAGCACGTGCTGGAGGTGGCGCCCCGCCTCCCGTCTTAGGGGTAGGGCCTGTGACGTCGCTTCCTTAAGTTTGGTAAACGCAGCGTGCGTCAGCGCGATCCGGAGGGGCAGGGCTTCCCGACGAAAGGCGGTGCTCATGAATTATTCATGAGCTGTTGGTAGCACACCTCCCCCCTCTCCCCATCTTCTTAGAAGCGCTTCCGAAGGAGCAGAGAGACCCTACAAAGCCGAGGAAGGGCAGGAGTGGAACTGGGCTCAGTAAAACGCGATAGGTCATTATAACTCACCCCCCTCGAAAATATTCTCTGCTGAATTGGGGAAAAAGAAAAAGCACTAAAACAGCCGGTGTTGTCCAACTTCCTCTTCCCCCGAAACGGCTGAGTCGTTCTCTGGTTCCTCTGCCTTCCCCCAATCGCAATCACCTGGAGACGCCACACCACGCCTTCCTCTCCGCCTCCACACCCACGGCCCGGACCCCAACGCCTCCGCCCATTCCCGACGCCCGCTCACTGGTCGGTCAGCTCACGGGCCTCCCCAAACGCCCGCCGCGGCGCCGCGCCGACTTATATACCAGAGAGTGTGGGCGGGGACGGGGGTTCGGTCCGCGCTGGGGCCCCCCCCCCCGCTTCGGCCAATGAGGAAGAAGCGAATCTACGCCGTTTTCCCGGGGAGATTCGCAGCCCGGTCTTCCTGCCAGCGGAGTGCTGGGCCGAGGAGCGGGTGACAGGGGTGACAGTGGGGTCCCGGAAAGTCTAAAATAAAATCCTAAAGTGAGGGCGTGAAGGAGACCAGCAGGAAGAGGAGGAATCAGGGAACGGAAAGAGGGAGGAAAAGGCAGTCTGAAACAGAGAAAAGTTAGTAAGATGTGCTTCAAGAACAATCAGGCGCTGCGGCCGCCGCCTAAAAAATATGTGACACAAAGAGGATTCTGGGATTTGTAGTTTTCCCGGGACGTTCGGGTGAAAGATGGCGGAATTACCTCAGCCGCGGAAACGCAGACGCTGTTTCCAGTTGCGCATGCGCCTCAGACTCCGCGAGCGCGCCGCCCGGGGGTGGAGCTAGCGCGCAGGGCGTCCTCGTGCCTTTTCTTGGTGGCGGGAAACCTGGGTCGAGGTGTGAGGGGCTTGCGGAGTCGCTGCGCCAGCTGGTTCTGCACCTCGCCTTTAGGTCCTCCTTGCTCCTGAAGGTAGCCGGCTAGTTTCTGGTTGTAGGTGAAGGTGCCGGGCGCCGCCAGTCCTGGCACCCGTTGCCTGAGGAGAAACTTTCTCAGGGCGACAACCAGCTCTTGGCTCTTTTTCCTCAGAATCTGTCGCCCCCAAGAAACAGACAAAAACAGCCCAGTCTCCTGGCGGGCACCGACAATATGAGTGAGAATGAGGATCACGGTGCCTTGGCGGGAGTGGGAGTGGAGGGGAGATTCCCTCATGGTGGGAGGAAGGAAAGGAAGGAACGGGAAAGAGAGAGGGGGACGCCGCCGTTTTAGGGGAGAGGCGAGGACGTGTGGCTCAGGGACATTTCCGAACTGAACCCCTATCCCTGAGAGAGAATAAAGGGTGAGGGAAGAGAGAGGAAAATGGGAGCGCCCCCCAAATGGGAAGAACTTCTCCCCAAAACTTCTTCCCTTTGGATTGCAAGGTGCATTTGGGATTGGGGCTTTTTAAAAATTATCTTTTATTTTTTATTATTTTTTAAAAGACAGTCTTGCTCTGTCGCCTGGGCTGGAGTGCAGTGGCGCGATCTCCGCTCACTACAACCTCCGCCTCCCGGGTTCAAGGGATTCTCCTGCCTCAGCCTCCTGAGGAGCTGGGGTTACAGGCGCCCGCCACCACGCCCAGCTAATTTTGTATTTTTAGTAGAGATGGAGTGTCTCCATGTTGGTCAGGCTGGTCTCGAACTCCTGAGGTCAGGTGATCCGCCCGTCTTGACCTCGCAAAATTATGGGATTACAGGCACGCCCCACCGTGCCCGGCTAATTTTTCTGTATTTTTAGTAGAGACGGGGTTTCACGTATTGGCCAGGCTGGTCTTGAACTCCTGACTTCAGGTGATCCACCTGCCTCTTCTTTCTTGTTAAACGTTTTAAATCAGGCTTGCTGAGCTTGTGCACAAACATGAAGGAAGCAAGCAAGGGAGGGAAGGGGGAGGAAGGAAGGAGGGAGGGAAGGAGAAGAGAGAGGGAGGGAGAAAGGGGGGAGGGAGGGAGGAGGGGAGAGAGGAGGGGTGAATAGAGGAAGGGAAAAAGGGGTGGGAGGGAGGAGGGGGTGAAGAGAGGAAGGGAAAAAGGGGAGGGAGGGAGAGGGAGGAGGGAGAGGAAGGATGGAGGAGGGGAGGTGGGGAATGGAGGAGGGGGAGGGAGGGGGTAGGAAGGAGAGGGAAGGGGAAGGGGGAGGGGGAGGAAAGAGGGAAGGGAGAAGGAGGAGGGGGAGGAAGAGAGGGAAGGAGGGAGGGAGGAAGATGAGGGAGGAAAGGAGGAGGAAGGGAGGGCAGAGGGAGAAGAGGGAAGGAGGAAGGGAGGGAAGAGGGAGAGGAGGGAAGGAAGAAGGAGAGGGAGGGAGGAAGGAAGGAGGACAAGGAAGGAAGGAGAGGGAGGGAGAGAGGGAAGCAGGAGGGGGAGGAAGGAGATGAGGAAGGAAGAGGAGGGAGAGAGGAAGGGATGGAGGGACAAAGGGAGACAGAAAGGAGGGAAGAAGGAAGAGAGGGAGGGAAGAGGGAGGAAGGGAAAAAGGAAAGAAGGAAGGAAACTGCTATTAGTTAATTGATGCATAAAAATAAGCAGGAGTCCACATACTGTTATTAATGCAAAAAGGAAGATCAGACTCTGGCTTAAGAAAGATTTGAAATATACTTTTTTTTTTTTTTTTTTTTTTTTTTGAGATGGAGTCTCGCTCATTTTGCCCAGGCTGGAGTGCAATAGCATGATCTTGGCTCACTGCAGCCTCCACTTCCTGGGTTCAAGTGATTCTCCTGCTTCAGCCTGCCAATTAGCTGAGATTACAGGCGCCTGCCACCACGCCCGGCTAATTTTTGTATTTTAGTGGAGACGGGGCTTCACCATGTTGGTCAGGCTGGTCTTGAACGCCTGACCTCAGGTGATCCGACCACCTTGGCCTCCCAAAGTGCTGGAATTACAGGCGTGAGCCACTGCGCCTGCCTGAAATATACTTTTTACCGCTTTTTTGAGACTCAGGGAGTCTGGATTAGATGACAATGCTGAAGGGTTTACTTCTCTTAGACCAAGGATTTGAGGAACAAGGTAAAGAAGGGAATGATTGGATGGTTAGGAGGGGAAATGTGGGAACACATTCTGAATGGTGTGTGGGGAGAGAGAATTACTGTTTATCTTTTAAAAATTGGCAAGACTGACAAGTTATTTCACTAGGTCAGTTCTCAAACTTTTTGGTCTGAGAACCCTTTTATACTCAAATTATGGAGGACTCCAAAGAGCTTTTATTTGGTTTGTATCTGTTGATATAAACATATTAGAAATTAAAATTGAGAAACATTTAAAGTTTTATTAGAAATAATGATATGTTAACCTAAACAAGTTTTTATGAAAAATACATTTTCCTAAACAAAAGAAAATTTAGCATGAAGAATGGTGGTGTTTTACATTTTTGCAAATCTCTTTCATGTCTGGCTTAATAGAAAACAACTGGGTTCTCATCAGTTTCTGCATTCAGTCTGTTGGAATATCTTGTTTTTGTAAAAGTACATGAGAAAATCAAGCTTAATACAGATAGGTAGTTGGAAAAGGGAGAGGACCCCCTAGGATTCTGGGACCATACTTGGAACTGCTGAGTTAGATTATTTCATCTCAAAATTTATGTGATGATTTTTAATGTTCTAAGTGAAATAAAACTGTTTTGAGATCTTATTCACTTTCCCTTGGTTCCCTTTATTATTCCTAAGTTCTTTTTCCCTCCCTTTTTTTTTTTTTTTTTTTTTTTGAGACGGAGTCTCGCTCTGTCGCCCAGGATGGAGTGCAGTGGCCAGATCTCGGCTCACTGCAAGCTCCACCTCCCGGGTTCACGCCATTCTCCTGCCTCAGCCTCCTGAGTAGCTGGGACTACAGGCGCCCGCCACCTCGCCCGGCTAGTTTTTTGTATTTTTTAGTAGAGATGGGGTTTCACCGTGTTAGCCAGGATGGTCTCGATCTCCTGACCTCGTGATCCACCCGTCTCGGCCTCCCAAAGTGCTGGGATTACAGGCTTGAGCCACCGCGCCCGGCCTTCCCTCCTTTTTAACCCTCATTTCGTATGTTGAGTGATGGGAATATGGTTTCTGGAACTGTACTGGTTCCTTTACATTCTTATTTAAAGCCTTTGCCCCTCTTATTAAAGCCTTCCCCCCAACCCCACATCCTGCCCCTCTTCATCTAAGGTAAGAAAAGAGAAATTAAAACCTCAAATTTTATTCCTGAGTCTATAGCCCCTAGTCATTTAGTAGCTGTACAGAAGAAAGTTAGTGGTATTTTATATATTTATTAACTGTCTATATTTTTTTTCCTCTCTCTCTGTACCAGCTTTCAGTATTTGTTATTGTGAAAGAAGTTAATTCACCTGAAACAGAGGAGGGGCAACCTGAGTTATCAGAAAGTGACTTCCTGGCCTTCCCTTCTTTATTGATCAGGTTAGAGCTTTTGTTTGAAAGCAGTGTTCATCGCATGCACAGATTATACATATTATGTGATACTATACTATACATCACTGTTTACAGATTTATTACATCTTACTAGCTCAACAGTGAACCACAATTCTATCTAGTTGGTTGGGGCTCCAGAAACATACTTTGGCCTAGGAAGATCTTTATAGGTTTAGATAAGGATTTGAACCTAAATACTGGAAATGTTTTGTATTTTTAGATTAGTCAAAATACTCTCTTTTAATTTTACTTAAAGAATTTAGGCTGGGCACTGTGCCTCACGCCTGTAATCCCAGAATTTTGGGAGGCCGAGGCAGGTGGATCACGAGGTCAGGAGATTGAGACCATCCTGGCCAACATGGTGAAACCCCGTCTCTACTAAAAATACAAAAATTAGCTGGGGGTGGTGGTGCACTCCTGTAATCCCAGCTACTCAGGAGGCTGAGGCAGGAGAGTCACTTGAACCCAGGAGGTAGAGGTTTAAGTGAGCGAAGATCGTGCCACTGCACTCCAGCCTGGCAACAGAGCAAGACTTGTCTCTCGGGAAAAAAAAAAAAAAATTTTTTTTTTTTTTTTTGAGAAGGAGTCTCGCTCTGCCGCCCAGGCTGGAGTGCAGTGGCCGGATCTCAGCTCACTGCAAGCTCCGCCTCCCGGGTTCACGCCATTCTCCTGCCTCAGCCTCCCGAGTAGCTGGGACTACAGGCGCCCACCACCGCGCCCGGCTAATTTTTTGTATTTTTAGTAGAGACGGGGTTTCACCGTGATAGCCAGGATGGTCTCGATCTCCTGACCTTGTGATCCGCCCGTCTCGGCCTCCCAAAGTGCTGGGATTACAGGCTTGAGCCACCGCGCCCGGCCAAAAAAAAAATTTTAAAATATTTTTTGAAGTGGTAACATTTGTGTGTTTTAAAATGCCAAAGATACACGAGGTAGTATACCAAAAGCGTCCTTTCACTCTCATCTACCCAGTTCTACTCCCCAGAGGCATTTTGATCCATTTTTTTTCTCTTCCAGAGAAAATTTATGATTTTCTCTATTATACTAGACATATGTTTTTAAAACTAAATATTGTCATCTGAAGCACACTGATTTTCACTCTGCTTTTCTCAGTTAGCATAGCCCTTGTAACTTAGACTGAGACTTCTTGTGATATTTTTGGAATTTTAAAGTTTGAGAAAGATATATTTGTCATTTGTGATCAAATTAATTTTATCCAGTCTTTTTTTTTTTTTTTTTTTTTTGAGACGGAGTTTTGCTCTTGTTGCCCAGGCTGGAGTGCAATGGTGCGATCTTGGCTCACTGCAACCTCCGCCTCCTGGGTGCAAGCAATTTTCCTGCCTCAGCCTCCCGAGTAGCTGGGATTACAGGCTCTCGCCACCACGCCCGGCTAATTTTTTGTATTTTTAGTAGAGATGGGGTTTTGCCATGTTGACCAGGCTAGTGTCGAACTCCTGACCTCAGGTGATCCACTCGCTTCAGCCTCCCAAAGTGCTGGGATTACAGGCGTGAGCCACCATGCCCGGCCAATTTTATCCAGTCATTACCTTCTATTTAGGATTATAATAAAGGAGATTAATTTGCTTGAGTGTTTCTCCCCAAAATTCCAACTTGCCTTTTTTTCTAGAGCAAATATGTTTTGGGATTGATGATGATGAGTTAAAATGGAAACAGCAAGAAAATGTGCTCTTTAATATAAAGGAAATGTAGTTGCTTTAGAACAGCATGTCTGAATTATTCACATTTATGGAAGTGAGGAAAGGAACAGAAAAATGTTAAAGGGTATTCACATTTAGCCATGCTGTGGCCACACTGTCAAAACCTCAGTACCCTTTAAGTTTATGTTACGGTCTAGAGCTAGGAACCCTACACCTTGAACAAGTTTGGCCATTTAAGGTCTTAAAATTTTCTGATCCTTTAAAGGGAAGTGTATGTGAACCAAATGATCCATTTTATGCTGCTTTTGGATCTCTTTATAGTGGGGATCACAGATTTAGAACAATGAGTTTCAGTTGTAGGACTTTCAAACTGCTCAAAACCAACAGTCAGAAACAAGATCACTGAGTAGAATAGATATGTTATTAGTAGAATTGAGAGGCAAAAGTCCTGGGTTCATCTAAGCTCAACAATATATTAACACTGAGTCTTTGGGCAAACCACTTAACCTCTGTTAGCACATTTTTTCCCATCTGTAGAAAGGGGAGTTGGGACTTTATTATCCCTAAAGGTTTTCCCAGAGCTAGAATGCTTTTTATAATGGTTATAAAAATAAGAATGACATATATCCCCTAAGCCTAAAGAAAACTGGGTAAAGGGCTATAAGAAGTTAAAGTTAATAAAATAAAAGACAGTTTTCTTCAGAAAGCTGGGTGGGACACAGAATACTACGAAGCCATATAAAAGAACAAGATCATGTCCTTTGCAGCAACATGGATGGAGCTGGAGGCCGTTATCCTAAGTGAATTAATACAGGAACAGAAAACCAAATACTGTATATTCTCACTTATAAAGTAGGAGCTCAACATTACATACACATGGACACAAAGAAAGGAACAATAGACACTGGAGCCTACTTGAGGGTGGAGAGTGGGAGGAGGGTGAGGACTGAAAAACTACCTATTGGGTACTATACTCATTACTTGTGAAACAAAATTATCTGTACACTAAATCCCATGACATGCAGTTTACCCATGTAACAAACCTGCACATGTACCCCTTGAATGTAAAATAAGGGTTGGAATGTAAAAAAGGTTGGAAAGAAAAAATGAAAATAAAGCTGTGTGGAAATAATATCAGTAGTGGGAAAGTATAAATTGGAAAATAAAAATAATGGGATGTCCCCAGATGAGTCTTGGCACACTGGTGGGTCACAAATAGCTTGTAGCTGTGTAGATACTAATTTCTTCTTCAGCCTTTGGTGTGACTCTTCAGTTGCCTATGGCTGTGAGCAGCCTGGTCCTTTTACCCCCAGAGTACCTGGAAATGTCAATTTCTATGTGTTTCAGTATATGCTATTAATGTATGTTTTCTGTGTGTGCTGTGATGGCAAAATGGTGGTGAAGCACTGAATTAGACTGTTAGGATGTCACGTAGCAGTTATTAGCACAAACTTTGAAATCAGACAGGTTCTAATCCTGATTTTACTACTTATCAGTGATTTAGTATCTTTAAAACCCTGTAAGCCTGAATTTCCCCCAAGTGTAAATGTTACCCATCTCATAGATCTGTTGTGAGAATTAAATGGAATGCTACATAAAAGGTAAAGAATATAGTCAGTGCTCAGTAAGTGTTAGCCATTACCATTAGTTACAGTGTCAGTAGTAATCAAGAAACACATTGATGTCAGGCCCTGTGGAGTGGCTCACACCTGTAATCCCAGCACTTTGGGAGGCTGAGGCGGGCAGATCACCTGAGGTGGGGAGTTTAAAACCGGCCTGACCAATATGGAGAAACCCCGCCTCTACTAAAAATACAAAATTAGCTGGGGGTGGTGGCGTATACCTGTAATCCCAGCTACTGGGGAGGCTGAGGCAGGAGAATCGCTTGAACCTGAGAGGCTGAGCTTGCGGTGAGCTGAGATTGTGCTATTATACTCCAGCCTGGGCAACAAGAGCAAAATTCCTTCTCAAAAAAAAAAAAAAAAAAAAAGAAAAAGAAAAACAGAAACACATTGATGTCGTGTCGTGTGGAACATCTGTGAGTAGATTGCTGTGCTGAAGATGAACTGTGAATATCAAAGAAGGCACTAATTTAATTTCTTATTATTAGGTGCTAAGGTAGAATAAGGAAGAAGATATTATCTGGGAACCTGTGCTGGTTATCAAATACTTCTGAGCTATGATTAGAGATTGGTAGCATCTAGTACATTGGAAAATTGATTGGACTGAGGATCTAAGAAAGGGAAAATAAACATTATAATGATGTTAGAAGTGAGGCTTCTCTATGCACAGAGACCTCTGAGGTCAGAGAATTACCAAATTATGTGTGTGGTCTAAGTGTTTAGGAGAGGCTTATGAAATGAGGCTATCCCTCTGAAGAAAACTCTCTTTTCTTATTCATACCCTATCATCACTGCTCTACTACTACCTATACTTCTGGTACTACTACCATTTCTGCTGCCTGCCTTATGTTGGACATGGTTCTAGGCACATAATACACTAAGGATTGCTGCTAATATTTATTTGTTATTTAAATTTTTGAGTCAGGGTCTCACTCTGTCACCCAGGCTGGGGTGCAGGGGCACAATTTTGGCTCAGTGCAGTCTCCGCCTCCTGGGCTGAAGTGATCCTCCCACCTCAGCCTCCAGAGTAGCTGGGACTACAAGCCCATGCCACTACACTGGCTAATTTGTTTTATTTTTTGTGGAAACAGGGTTTTGCCGTGTTGTCCAGGCTGGTCTTGAACTCCCAGGTTGAACTGATGTGCCTGCCACGGCCTCCTAAAGTGCCAGTATTACAGGTATGAGGCACCATACCCAGCCCTGATTGTTGCCAATCTTTAAAACAGTAACTCTGATTATTCCCTGGCGTGTAACTGGCACCACAGAGGCATGTAATTGGCACCACAGAGGAGGTCAAGAATGCAGAAACATAGTTCAGAGGTCTGAAACAAAGAGTTCCTGAACCCAGGAAGACAGAAGGTTTAAAATCTTGTTTGATCAGAGTCATAGCAGTTAATTTCTTTTTTCTAACAGAGGCACACAAAGTGTAGTTTCTAAGCTGAATGATGACAACATTGCAGAATAAAGAAGGTGAGTCAAGAGTGAGGGAGGTTCACTTTGTACATCTCTCTCATTTTTCTCCTTTTGGACATCCTTTCCACCAAGGGCTGGTTCAGGTCCCTATATTCTGTGCCCACTCTGGTCAAATTACCGCTCTGGTCAAACAAAACAAGATGCTTTGAGTGAAATAAATGTGACTTAAAAACAGTCCTGCTCGAGGAACATATGAACTTGGGGAGAGAAAAGGCATTTAAATACCTATTATCAAGTTGAATGTGGTAAATGCCACCAGCTTTGTGCAGAGTATTAAGGAAGCTCAGAAGAAAGATATACCTGGGAGGATCATTATAATTTTTATTGAGGAGGTGGCATAAGAGCTGTGAATAATTTATAGATTTTGACTAGTTTTTAAAAAATTGCTCTAATTTTCCATAACATTTTATCTAAAGTAAAAATGAGCAAATTATACAGTTTCACGTTTGGATAATTCAGCTTCCTGCATGCTTATATTTATCACCTTTGACTTAGTGGTTCCCAAACCTGGCAGTGTATCAGAATCAACTAGCCTTGTAAAATTAAAGATTACTAGGCCTCTCACGTCAAACTATGTCGTCAGCATCTCAGGGCTGGGGAGTGAGAGACCCAGGAATCTGAATTTGTTAAAAGCTCTCTCCATATCATTCTGTTATGGCCAGTCAAAGGGCAATGTTTGGCAATCTCTGTTAGACTGTATGTTTCATAAATTCCACATGATCACATTTCTTTCAGAATGTGGAAAGGGACCAAAGAGAATCTTTGCCCCACCTGCACAAAAATCTTACAGCCTGTTACCTTGTAGCCCTAACTCCCCCAAGGAGGAGACCCTGGGGATCAGTTCCCCAGAGACAGAGGCCAGCATAAGCCTGCCAAAGACCAGTTTAAAGAAGGAAGAGGAAAAAGCAGCCACAAAGAATGGTCCAAGCAGGGGCCAGGAGAAAAAAAGAAAGGCACAAAACAACAAGCAAGCAGAGAAGAAAGAAAAGGTACCAGTCATATTGGTGGGCTCTGGTAGGATATCTCCTCATACCTTGCCCCTGGCTAAGGCTAGACAGACAGTCTTTTCACGTTGGGGAAATTCACCCTAGAGTTTCAGGTTTGTATTCCTTTTTGGGAGCTTCCATTTTTCTTTTTTTTTCTCAAAGAGGTCAAAAATGTTTTGATGGAAGAATTGAGCAGGAAATAATAGGATGAGGTGGGTTAGAGGTGGGGGTAGAAGTGGACAGAGACATTGTACCCTTTTCTCTTTCCTTTGACTCCTTTATTCGCAGGAGATCTGGGATAGAGTTCATGGCCTCCTTAGGTATGCTGACTGCATGCCTTCCATCTTGTAAACTTACTGCCTCATCCATCTAAAGGAGGCTTCCCTGACTGTTCAGGGGGAAAAACTATGGAAAGATAAGTGGTTTTCCTCCCCTACCCTTGTCTCTGCAGGAAAAATCAAGTCTTACCCCTGCAGAATTTGAGGAGATTGTCCAGATTGTGCTGCAGAAGTCCCTTCAGGAGTGCTTGGGTATGGCATGTAGTAAGAGAAAAAGGGTTTCAGTTAGGCAGAGTGACTATTACCTGAGAGGGACAGTTAAGTCTGACAGCTTCTCTTTTCCTCTCCTATCTTCTAAATAAGGTAATATTAGATAAGACTTCAATATATTTAAAAAATACTTCATTACTTATCAACAGGACTATAGCTAAACTACCTTAAAGGGTACATATTTTTAGAAAAAGTAGATTACATTGACTTCAGAATTTATATATAGTCTTACCTAAATTTTCAAGCCATGGGATTTTTGTTGTTACTTATTTACTTATTATTTTTTTTGAGATGGAATCTTGTTCTGTCACCCAGGCTGGAGGGCAGTGATGTGATCTCGGCTCACTGCAGCCTCTGCCTCCCAGGTTCAAGTGATTCTCCTACCTCAGCCTCCCAAGTAGCTGGGATTACAGGCACCCACCACCACGCCTGGCTAATTTTTTTGTTTTTTTAGTAGAGATGGGGTTTCACCGTGTTAGCCAGGATGGTCTCGATCTCCTGACCTCGTGATCCACCCATCTCGGCCTCCCAAAGTGCTGGGATTACAGGCTTGAGCCACCGCGCCCGGCCAATTTTTGTATTTTTAGTAGAGGCAAGGTTTCACCAGGCTGACCAGGCTGGTCTCGAACTCCTGACCTCAAGTGATCTGCCTGCCTTAGCTTCTCAGTGCTGGGATTACATGTGTAAGCCACTGCACCTAGCCTGTTGTTTTAATTTTTACTTTTTGTAGAGATGAGGTCTTGCTATGTTGCCCAGGCTGGTCTTGAACTCATGGCTGCAAGCAATTCTCCCATTTCAGCCTCCCAAAGTGCTGGGATTGTAGATGTGAGCTACAGTGCTTGGCCCTAAATTTTTAAAATGCAGTTAAAATTTGTTTCTATGTAATTACAAACTACTTAGAAAAGATAAAATTGTTTTCCCTAGATTTGAAAAACTTAGGGTACATATCCTTGCAAATTTCAGTTTCTAATACCGATTTTGCATGTGGTTAGGAATTTAGTTTTTAGAATAAAGAACACGGTGAGGGAGGCCAGGTGTGGTGGCTCATGCCTGTAATCCCAGCACTTTGGGAGGCCAAGGCGGATGGATCACTTAGATCAGGAGTTCGAGACCAGCCTGCCCAACATGGTGAAACCCCATCTCTACTAAAAATATAAAAATTAGCCAGGCGTGGTGGCATGTGCCTCTAGTCCCAGTGGAAGTTGCAGTGAGCTGAGATTGCGCCACTTCACTCCCGCCTGGGCGACAGAGCAAGACTCTGTCTCAAAAAAAAAAAAACAACTAACCTCTATGAAGGCTTCTCCATAAATTCGTGAGACTGAAGAGAACAGTCTGACATTTCAGCCATTCTTAGGTATACTTCTATTCCTAGGAGTTTGAGCCACAAATGATATAAAATGCAGTGTGTGTATATATGTGTGTGTGTGTGTATATATATATATAATTTTTTTTTTTTTTTTAAGACAGAGTCTTGCTCTGTTGCCCAGGCTGGAGTGCAGTGGTGTAATCCTGACTCACTGCAACTTCCGCCTCCCAGGTTCAAGAAACTCTCCTGCCTCAGCCTCCCAAGAAGCTGGGACTACAGGTGCATGCCACCATGCCTGGCAAATTTTTTGAATTTTAGTAGAGACAGGGTTTTACCATGTTGCCCAGGCTTGTCTTGAACTCCTGAGCTTTGGCATTCTACCCACCTCAGCCTCCCAAAGTGCTAGGATTACAGGCGTGAGGCACTGTGCTTAGCCTGTAATTTTTTTATGTATACAAAATTATCATTACCTGGCCATCCTGGAATAAGGCAAATCAATCTGGAAAGGCTTGCAGAAAGATACATATTTGCAGTTTTTCCTGAAAATTTAAATATTTAAAGTTCTATGATATGACAAGAGGCCAAAGGTAGGCTCTTTCAGATGACAGGGAGAAGACACTTTAGAGAAAATGTTAGGGAATAATAGAGTGGCTTTTTTGTTTTTTTGCTTCTCTGCTTATAGTATTTTGTTTTGGGAGGGATGGGATCTGGCCTTGATTTTGCAGAGACTTCCTGTGCCCAGCCCATAGTATCCACCCAGTCAGCCAAGGAGCCAGGAATTACTGCTTCTGCTACTGATACTGATAATGCTAATGGGTAAGTTTATTTTGGTGGGGCAAGTTGAACACAGAATGGACTACACATTGGTAAATCATGGTCAGTAAGTCTATCTATCTGTCCGTTTGTCTGTCTCTCTGGTCATTTATCATATTTCTATAGATTTCTCTCAGCTCAGGAAAGATACCTGTTTGAGTTGGGAAAAACAGGCAAGTAGATGGATGAAATGGCCTCAGGAGGCCTTAGAAAGCTTAGGATTCATCTGTCTTCCTTTTACTCTTGGGTTTTTTCAAAAGAAGGTTCTGCAATTGCTCTATGTTTACCTTTCATTAAAATAAAACCTCATTTTCAGAGAGGAGGTACCACATACTCAAGAGATTTCAGTGTCTTGGGAAGGTGAAGCTGCCCCTAAGATAAGAACGTCTAAGCTAGGCCAGCCAGATCCTGTACCCTCTAAGAAGAAATCCAATAGACTCACCTTAAGCAAAAGAAAGAAGGAAGCTCGTAAGTACAGTCAGATATACTTTGAAACCTGGCTCAAGTACTTGCTCTAGAAATTAGGGAATGGGACCATGGGCAGGCTGAGAATTTTCAGCCCAAGACTTGAGACTATTAGGCTGTGATTCTTCTTTCTTCTTTCACTGACCTTTACTATCTAGAAAGATTGTCTTCTTCATCTCCCCACCCCACGTTTTCTTTTTTCTTCCCAAAAGATGAGAAGGTGGAGAAAACTCAAGGTGGACATGAGCACAGACAGGAAGACCAACTAAAGGAGACAGTTCAGGATCATTCTCAGATCAGGGACCTGCAAAAAGGAGAGATAAGTGGTTTTGGTGAGTTCAGTTGGTTTGGCAAACCTGTTTGGCCTGAAAATTTGAGATAGAGCAGAGAGGCAGGGTTAGGATGTTAGAGGAAACTCTGCAAAGAATATAGTTAATCTCTCACAGCTGCTTGTTGCGGAATATGCTGCTGAGAGAATGATTTCATTCATTGAGTCATTTATTCACATAATCCATAGTTACTGGGTGCCTACTATGTACAAAGCATTTTAGATGTTTCCCAGGAGGAAAATGAAGATGTAGTAAGAAAGGTAATAGAAAAATCAGGAGTGGTATTATAGATGCCAGGGGAGGAGAGAATTTAAAGAAAGAGGGGTGCTCAACCATGTCAAATGCCATTTTAAAGAAGTCAAAGAGGATAAACATAAGCTCAAGCATATCACGATTAGGAGGCCGTTAGGGGTTTGGTTACAGCTACTGAAAGGGTTGGTAAGTTTGAATGGCAGCTTATAGCCAGTTGAAGAGTAAACACTTTTTCAATTAGTTTAGATATGGAAAGTAAGAGGGAGAAGATGGTAGATAAAAAGGAATGGAGGCTGGGCGTGGTGGCTCATGCTTGTAATCCCAGCTATGTGGGATGCCGAGGTGGGTGGATCACAAGGTCAGGAGTTCAAGACCAGCCTGACCAATGTGGTGAAACGCCATCTCTACTAAAAGTACAAAAATTAGCCGTGTGTGGTGGCGTGTGCCTGTAGTCTCAGCTACTTGGAGGCTGAGGCAGGAGAATCGCTTGAACCTGGGAGACGGAGCTTGCAGCGGGCCAAGATCGTGCCACTGCACTCCAGCCTGGGCAACAAAGTGAGACTCTGTCTCGAAAACAAAAACAAAACCAAACAAACAAAAAAGGAATGGGTACAGAGTTGAGGGAGGGGTTTTTTGTTTTGTTTCGTTTTGAGATGGAGTCTTGCTCTGTCGCCAGGCTGGAGTGCGGTGGCATGATCTCCGCTCACTTCAACTTCTACCCCCCGAGTTCAAGTGATTCTCCTGCCTCAACCTCTCGAGTAGCTGGGACTACAGGCACATGCCACCACGCCCAGCTAATTTTTGTATTTTTAGTAGAGATGGGGTTTCACCATGTTGGCCAGGATAGTCTCAATCTCTTGACCTTGTGATCTGCCTGCTTCGGCCTCCCAAAGTGTTGGGATTACAGGTGTAAGCCACCGTGCCCGGCCTGATAATGGTAAATTTTATGACAAGAAATAAAATAGATCATACAATATACTAGTGTGTCCAAAAATTCAAAAATACTAAGGCAGGAGGATCACTTGAGACCAGGAGTTTGAGACCAGCTTGGGCAACACAGCGAGACCCTCATCTCTACAAGAAAAAAAAAATTAGCTGGGTGTGGTGGTAGTGCCTGTAGTCCTAGCTATTCAAGAGGCTGAGGTCGGAGGATCTCTTGATCCCAGGAATTGGAGGCTGCAGTAAGCGATGATCGTGCCACTCCAGCCTTGGTGATAGAGCAAGACCCTATTTCTAAAAAACTAAATAAATAGACGACAGTCTAAACCCACTTGTACCAAACAAAAACAAAACTTCAAAACATAATGCAAAAAGACAGAACAAGTTCCAAGTTTAAGGAACAGTGGAATAAAAAGTTACCTAGTGTCTAATCTGTATGTGTACATATATGTGGTTTTGGTTGTGGAAGCATAATATAATTTGAACATACTTGGAAGAAAACTCCAAGACTATGCAGGCACAAAAAAAGGTAGTTCAGGTTAATAAACCATTCCTCTTGTTATAATGACATAGTAACATAAGGCACTGAGGTATAAGTCTAATTTGAACAACCAGGTGGCCTGGAGTTCAGACTACCCGAAGGGAGTTTCTAGATAGAGTCAAAAAGGAAGCTAAAAGGTTTTTTCTTTTGGTTGTATGTGACTATATAAACTCAGATGTGCTTGTTGAGAACTTTAGGGATACTGCAGACCCCACTGACCTGATCTCTGGTTAGTTCAAATAAATTGGTGTCATTAGATTTGTGTTGCTCTGTCTCCTGTACTTCTCAGAATTACTGCAAGGGGCCTGGCACAGTGGCTCAAGCCTGTAATCTTAGCACTTTGGGAGGATGAGGCAGGAGGCTTGCTTGAGTCCAGGATTCAAGACTAGCCTGGGTAACATAGTGAGACCCCTGTCTCTATAAAAAAGAAAAAAAATAGTGAATTTATATTTAAAAAGAAATGGAAAAAAAAGAATTACTGCATGGATTAGATCTTAGGTTGGCAGATGGGAGTTCACCCTCTAGGTGGTGCTTGTGAGTTGAATTGTGATTGCAGTGGATTTATCAGCCTCCTGCTATAAATAAACCATTCTTCCCGTTTCTTACAGTTGCCAAGGAGAGGTGAGTGCTCCTGAAGTAGGAAGGATTACTTAATGAATACAATTTGCGTTAAGTACTTAAGTACAGGGAAGGAAAAGAGCAGTGTATCATGAGAGGAAGTAAGATTGGGCTGGTCAGGGAGTACATTTCTAAAGAAACAGTATTTCAGCTAAAACCTGACGGCAGAGTAGAAGTTATCCAAGTGAAGAAAGAGTTTTAGGTAGGGTGAAGTGTGGCATGTTCCAGATACTAAAAGAAAGCCAGTGTGATTGCAGAGCTTAGAGAGCAAGGGGAGGCAAGTTGGGAAAGTGGCTCTGGATGACTGGAAAGAGGGAGGCAGTGGCTAGGTCAAAGACCATGTACAGAGTGAACATTTTACCCTAAGTGCAGGGGGAAGCCACTGATGGGTTTTAACCAGGGAAGTGACATCTTTAATGTTTTAAAAGGATTCTTTGGTGATTAATTGGAGATGGAGTATGGGGAGAAGACAGGAATAGACCAGTTAAGATGTTAGTATGAGGATTAGGTATTAGGCTTCGATTAGGATGATGGCTGAGTATAGTGGTTTGCATCTGTAATCCCAGACTTTGGGAGGCAGAGGCAGGAAGATCACTTGAGCCCAGGAATTTGAGGTTGCAATAAGCTATGTTCATACCACGTCACTCCAGCCTAGGTAACAGAGCAAGACCCTGTCTCAAAAAAAATATTTAAAAAATAAGATAAAAATAAAAAAATGGATTAGGATGATGAAAGTAGAGAAAGAGAAAAGTGGATGGTCTTAAGGTATGTTTTGGAGGTAAAATTGTTACAAGTTGGTAATGAATTGGATACTGGAAGGTTGGAGCAGGAGAGGGTATGTCAAGGATGATTGGTTTCTGGCTTGAACAGTTACGTGAAGGGAGATGGGAAAGAGTGGAGGAAGAAAAAGTTTGTGGGATAAAATTAAGCATTCAGGTTTGGGTACATTTAGGTTTGAGATCCTTGTGAGACATCCAAATAGAGGTATCAAAGAACAAGGTGGCTTAGGAATCTGGAACTCAGAACAGAGGCTGTAAGTAGACAGCTGTGTTCTGTCAGGTATGAAAATGGATTTCAAAGCCGTGGGAATGGGTGAGTTTGCCTCAGGAGAAAGTGTATCATGGGGAGAGAAGGCCCATGATTGGGCTTTGGGACCCCTGACATTTAGAGATTGAAGAACAAGGAGAACCCAGCAAAGAAGACTGCGGGGGAAGTTGCCAGTAAAATTGAGGAGAGGGGGACAGGAGAATGAGACATCAGAGAACACAGGAAACTAGTGTTTCAGGAATGAGTGGTCAAGTGAAATCCTCTTAACAGGTGTCTGTGACATCAGTCTTCATTATCATAGAGCCACATCTGGGCATCAAAACAGTTTTCCAGAGCACATTATCTTCTCCTTTAGGTTACTTGAAACTTTTTTAAAAAGTACAATGTTCTTGTCAAAAATATCATTCCAAGCCATAAATTTCCAGTTCCATATCATTATAGTGATTTTTTCCTACTCATTTTCTTGTAAGTACTCATTGCTTTCACAGCTAACAATTTGTATTATTGATCTGTATTAATTTATTTGACTCCTGGCCTCTCCTCCTACTCTATTTTTCTAGTCTTGCTAGGTCACCTCTGTAAACATCCAAAACTACTATTGGCAACTGTCATTTCAGACTAACATATTAGTCCCAACCAGTACTTTGTTCTTTAAGATAAGGTAATTAAGGCCAGGCACAGTGGCTCACCCTTGTAATCCCAGCATTTTGGCAGGCTGAGGGGGGGGATCGCTTGAGCCCAGGAGTTCAAGACCAACCTGGGCAACATGGCAAAACCCTGCCTCTACCAATAAATACAAAAAATTTTCTGGGTGTAGTGGTGCGTGCCTGTAGTCCCAGCTACTTGGGAGGCTGAAGTAGGAGGATCGCTTGAACTTGGGAAGTGGAAGCTGCAGTGACCCGAGATTGTGCCACTGCACTTCAGCCTGGGCAACAGAGCGAGACTGTATTTCAAAAAAAAAAAAGTAATTGCGCAAGTGATCTCTTATATTGTGATATTTTGAAAGGACCCAAATGCAAATCACCTTCTTTTCTGAGGGATGATTCTGGAGGGATGGGATTTGGAGCCATCCCTTATGATCAGGTATTTAAGGTAAAATTTGGCAGTGGGAGGCAGTGAACTTACTAGAGAAATATGTTGGTTGATAATGTTAAATAGTGAATATTTAGCAATACCTATGTGTCTGTTATGTGATTTTTCTCTGTCAACTCAATTGCTTGAGTGTAGAGTCAGAAAAGCTGGAGAGAGGGTTCATTCCCGTTGGTGTTTTGTCGTCTGGGTAGGAAGAAGGACAGTGGGAAAGGGAGCTGAAGGTGTCTACAAGAGAATCCAAGTAAGCGTCAAGTAATCAAACCAGAGTGGAACAGAGTGAAGAATGGAAATTGCTTCCAGATGGAGAGGATGGTAGTGGGCAGTGGGTTGGAGAGCCAGATAAAATGAAAGTTGCTATAGGAGTCTTTGAGCAAGTGAGGTGGAAGATGGGGCATTTTTATAGAGAGGATGTTTGGATAAGTGGCTCAGACAGTGTGCAGTTCCTGCAGATGACTGGGTGGGGCATGCAGGAGTGGGAGTGGGTTCCAGAGGTGACATGAGGAAAAAAGTCAAGACACTGAAAGAATGGGGTGCTATATGAGGAGTTCTTGTGGATATAGAGGTCATTTGGAATGAAGGCAGGAGGTGGAGAGAAGACTGAATCAGATGCCAGCATCTTTACAAGGGATATAAGAGGTGAGGATAGTCCCATGGCATAGACCTCAAGGGAGGAAGGGTTTTTATAAGAGTTGGAGAGTAGTAGCAATGGGGTAATGATAATGCCAGCCTGACTTTCTGTCCCGAGAGACATGGGGAGTGTGAGAGGAACTGACTCCATTTACAGGGTTGCAGGTAGGGGTGGTTTAGGTGGGGCAGTGTCATTAGTGGGTCTCCAGGCTTCAAAAAGGAGATAGAAGTTCAGATTGGAGGTTGAGGATATGTGGACTTTTGTTGCTCAAGTCAGTGGAGTTTCCAAGACCACAATGGAAGAGTTTCGGTGGGAGAAGGGAGAGGCTGAGAGACATGAGTCAGCTTAGGAGAGATAGGGGTCTGGAACGTAATGGATAAAAGGAAGACTTGGCATTTGAGCAGGGCCCAAAGTTAATAGTTGATGGAGAAGTGATAGGCTTAGACCTCTGTCTTTTGGAGAAGAGTGAACTCCAACGCTGTTGGTCCTAAAGTTTGCAACTTGGTGATTTGGTGACAGGTAAATCAGTTGGGATTTGGATAAGAACTCTGGATGTTGTGCACAAAAGAGATGCAGGTTGGTCCTTCAAAAGATCTTTTCAGTAGTGTCATGCCAGCAGAGAACAAGGCACTATCTGGAAAGATGTCAGGCAGCCTTTTAATTTGAGAACTGTCAATACAAGAAACATTCCTTTCAGCCTTGGGGTGGGGAGATATGGTAGCCTAGTACAGGAAAAAGATCAAGGCATGATACTTGAGTTCTAAGTTCAGCTCTATCACCAAGTTAGCTGATCCTCAGCAAGCCATTTACCTCTTTGAGCTTTGGTTTCCCACTTACAAGTCAGGGATCCGGCTGGTTGATCTCTCATGTCTCTCTGGCTATGTGATTCTGGGAGTTGGGAGGGTTATCCTGATTTTAGTTGGATTAAAGAAGGAAGAGCATATTTTTAAGTCTCTTATTTCATTTTTTTCCTCTCACAGGTCAGTGTCTGGTCTGGGTCCAGTGTTCCTTCCCAAACTGTGGGAAATGGAGGCGGCTGTGTGGGAACATTGACCCCTCAGTTCTCCCAGATAATTGGTCCTGTGATCAGAACACAGGTAGAAAAGACTGGAAATGTTTTTATTCATGTTTTATTGTTCCTCCCTTTCTTTCTCTGCACTTATCCTTTAGATTAAATACTACGTAAATATAGTTAGCACTCAATGGGTCCTTGTAGTGCTTGGGAGAGAGGAAGGATCTGCCTTTCATATGGAGATGAATCTGGGCAGAAAAGGCTGGATGAAGATGCTCTGCAAAGTGATATTGTGGGGAGGGGCCTGGAATCTAAATGTATGAGCACTGGTCTGCCCCTGTCAATCCTGATTAGAATATTGGTATTGGGTTTGTGGATAGGGAGGGATATAGGATATATGAGGAAAAACAGATGAGAGAGATCTGGTGCGCTTAGAATTCTAGGATGTTTGAAACTAGTTGGAAGAGATGATGATGATCTAGTCCAGCCCAATGATTTTACAGATGAGAAAACAGAGTCTCAGAGAAATTATTCTTATGATGCTCCATAGACAGGAGCACAATCAGACATGCGGGGGTGCAAGCAGGAGTGTGGAATCTCTTTCTATAGTATGAGGAGGCAGCATTCCTACTTCCCCTGGTTCCAGCTGCATTTCCTCCATGGGTCTTTATTGTTCTTCCTCCATGCTGATCTCCCAGGTGCCCTTTTGGTCCCACCTGCTGCATATACCAATTTCCTTCTTGTCCTCTCCCCAACCCTCATTCACCTCTTTCTCTTTATGAGTCTCTTCCTGTCCCTTCATTCCTTCTCTCTTTCAGCAGATATGCAGTATAATCGCTGTGATATTCCTGAGGAGACCTGGAAAGGGCTTGAAAGTGATGTGGCCTATGCCTCCTACATCCCAGGATCCATCATCTGGGCCAAGCAATACGGTTACCCCTGGTAGGGCACCATGACACAGTCAGAGCATCCTTCACAAACTTGGGAGAGGTAGATTCAAGCAGGGATGGAAGCAAATGGAAAACATCTGTACTTGAAATGGTTCTGGCCTTAGAAAGAGCAGGGGGTGAGAGAAAAGATAAAGTACCATGCCTGAAGGCTTTGAAAGAGCATGTTTTCTGGAGGTTTCAGCGTGGAGGTGATAGCTCCCTGGAAAAAAGGGTCTGATAGTGCTACCCCAGCTGGTAGAAAGAAGAGGGTGGATCTGAGGCATTTAAAAATATTGAGATTGGCCAGGCGCAGTGGCTCACGCCTGTAATCCCAGCACTTTGGGAGGCCAAGGCGGGCAGATCACCTGAGCACACAAGTTTGAGACCAGCCTGGCCAACATGGTGAAATCCCGTCCCTACTAAAAAATAGAAAAATTAACCAGATGTGGTGGCGCACGCCTGTAGTCCCAGCTACTCAGGACACTGAGGCAGAAGAATCACTTGAACCTGGGAGGCAGAGGTTGCAGTGAGCCAAGATTGCACCACTGCACTCCAGCCTGGGTGACAGTGAGTCCTCATCTTAAAAATAAATAAAAATATTGAGATTGAGAGATACAAAGTAAAGGGAACAAGGAAAAGTGGAATAGTTTCTTCTTTGGAGATGTCCCTAGTCAAAGATTTTGTTTTTAGGATTATGGGATGGCTCAGAAGGATAAGACCTTCACTAGGTGTATTCTGAACTCCTGTGTGCATTGATGGAAGTCACTTCCTCATCTGAGTCATTGAGTAGTGACCACTAGAGGGGGCTAATGGCAGAGGAATCTATTTTTTAGATCCTTTTTTTGCAAAGCGTACTGCTGACTGAGCGCAGTGACTCGCACTTGTAATCCCAGGACTTTGGAAGGTTAAGGTGGGAGGATTGCTTGAGCCCAGGAGTTTGAGATCAGTCCTGGCTATATAGTGAGACCCCATCTCTGCAAAAAATAAACAGCTGGGTGTGGTGGCATTTGCCTGTAGTCCCAGCTACTCAGGAGGCTGAGGTGGGAGGATCACTTGTGCCCGGGAGATTGAAGCTGCAGTGAGCCATGGTTGTAACACTGCACTCCAGCCTGGGCGACAGAGTGAAACCTTGTCTCAGAAAAAAAAATCATACTGCTCTTTTCTGTGCATGTACATTGATGAGGTTGTGTTCTGTTCATCTAACCCCTTCTCTTCTGTACCCTGCACCCAACTATCTTCTCCAGGTGGCCAGGCATGATAGAATCTGATCCTGACTTAGGAGAATATTTTCTTTTTACTTCCCATCTTGATTCCCTGCCGGTGAGTTTCCTGGTTCAGGGTAAGAAGGAGCTCAGGCCAAAGTAATGAACAAATCCATCCTCACAGATGTACAGATAAGAGACATGGACATAACCAGCAGACACAAGTGAAAACAGATACTTAACTAGGAGGACAAACACAGAGATAAGTGCTCACACATATAATAGAAACAAACTTGTATCTAATTAAATATTTATCCACTGTCAGGGCATTAGTGGTTTTGATAAATATGCTTGGCTAGGATTCCTGAGGTTAGAGTGGAAGAACAATTGGAACGAGGATAGGGTAGATGAGTCAGGCTTCAAGGGGGCATGTGAGGCCCAGCACCTCCTTCTGGCTAGAGGAGAAAAGCAGGGAGCAGGACAGGAGTCCATAACAGGACCATCTTTTATTTCAGTCTAAGTACCACGTGACATTTTTTGGAGAAACAGTTTCTCGTGCATGGATCCCAGTCAATATGCTGAAGAACTTCCAGGAGCTGTCCCTGGAGCTATCAGGCATGGTGAGCACATCTTGGGGTTCTGTTGTGATATAGAGGAAATGAAATCCTCCTTTTATTAAACCTGATTTTCTCCCAGGCTAAGCCATGTCAGGAGAAAGTTCTGTGTCTGACCAGGTGTGCCAAGGGTGAGGTAATTCATGAAGGACTCTTCTTGCCCCCAGGACTGCAGCAGGGCAATTATTTTTTTCAGTCCCCTTCCCTGCCTGCAGATGGGGGGCCATTCTGAGGATGAGGTTTTTCTACAGTTTAGCCAAAGCAGGTGTGGCAGAAATGAAGGCACAAATTAACTCAGGATTTCTCAGTCTCAGCACTATTGGCATTGGCATTTTGGGGGAGATAATTTTTGGTTGTAGAGGGCTGTCCTGTGTATCATGGGATGTTTAGCAGCATCCCTAGGCTCCAGCGGCATCTAACCAGCAGCAGCTCCTACCTCCACCCTCTGCCCCCTGCCTGTGGTTGTGACAACCAAAAAATTATCTCCAGCCATTGCCAGCTGCCTTCTGGAGGGCATAGTCTACCCGGTTGAGAACCATTGGATTAGCACAATCACATTTCTTCCCTGTAGTCACTTTGGGTTTGACCAGCCTTGCAAATGAGCAGAGGCTTAGTGGCTCAGGGGCTTTAGAAAATCAAGCAATGAGTATTAAACAGCTGGATCTAAAGAAACTTGTCAGAAGTTTCAAAGTGAAATCACCTGGGCTCCTATAAACCTCTTTTCAAATTTCCATGGGATTCACTTTGGAGAGGACACCAAAATGTTGGTTGAAAATATTGCTAGGGCCAGGTGTGGTGGCCCACACCTGTAATCCCAGCACTTTGGGAGGCCGAGGTGGGCAGATCGTCTGAGCTCAGGAGTTTGAGACCACCCGGACAACATGGTGAAACCCTGTCTCTACTAAAATACAAAAAATTTGCTGGGCATGGTGCTGTGTGCCTGTAGTCCCAGCAGGAGGCTGAGGCAGAAGAATTGCTTGAACCAGGGAGGTGGAGGATGCAGTGAGCTGAGATCACACCACTGCACTCCAGCCTGGGTGACAAAGTGAGACTCTGCCTCCAAATATATACATATATATAGTTAGGAATTGGTGAGATGTTTATTAGACGGATGGGGGGTGTTATGTCTGATCCCAAAATATTAAGAATAGGAGTATCGTATCAATACTAGGAACTGGAAATAAATGTTGTAGTTGAAGAGAATGTCAGATGGGTAGCAGTATGCTGGGGTCACTTTGCTAATATTTATTAGTGACTCAATTTTTTTTTTTTTTTTGAGATGGAGTCTTGCTCTGTACCCCAAGCTGGAGTGCAGTGGCGTGATCTCAGCTCACTGCAACCTCTGCCCCCCGGGTTCAAGCAGTTCTCTGCCTCAGCCTCCTGAGGAGCTGGGATTGTAGGCAACCTCCACCATGCCCAGCTAGCAGCTAAGTTTTGTATTTTTAGTAGAGATGGGGTTTCACCATCTTGGCCAGGCTGGTCTTGAAATCCTGACCTCGTGATCTACCCAACTCAGCCTCCCAAAGTGCTGGGATTACAGGTGTGAACCATTGCACCTGGCCATTACTCTAATCTTTAAGTCAATATTTATCATTGGCTCTAATCTTCTTCCATTTCAGAAAAAGCGCAGAAATGACTGCAGCCAGAAACTGGAGGTGGCCCTGATGATGGCTCAAGAAGCAGAACAGATCAGCATTCAGGTGGGAGGGTGTTCAGACCACACCCATTCTTTTCCCTGCTCTTGGACAAGTGGTATTGTTTCTCAGTCCAGACAAAGATGGTTTGTGCTAGGGGCCCATCTTACCTCCATATTTCACTTCAAGTTTCAGATATAAGTGCCCTAACCTCTCTTTTCTGTGGAGTCAGTTTTTATGCTCAAATTCTGTTGGTGGGGGTGGGATGGAGAGTAAAAAACAGTGAAAATTTCACCTCCCAATTTCCCTGATTTTTTAAATTAGAAACAAACTGGAAATAGAGATTATAATTAGTTAATCTCCATAAAAGGTCAGATAAGCCTAATGTGTAATTTCACGTGGAAATGGTATGGAAAATGAGGGCTGAGCGGGGGGCTCACGCCTGTAATCCTAGCACTTTGGGAGGCCAAATCAGGTGTATCCATTGAGTCCAGGAGTTCAAGGCCAGCCTGGGCAACACAGCAAAACCCCATCTCTACAAAAAATACAAAAATTAGCCAGGCATAGTGGCGCATGCCTGCAGTCCCACATACTTGGGAGGCTGAGGCAGGAGGATCATTTGAGCCTGGGATGGCGAGGTTGCAGTGAGTAAAGATTGTACCACTGCACTCCAGCCTGGGTGACAGAGCAAGACCCTGTCTCAATAATAATAATAATAATAATAATTTTGTCAAGCCTGTAATCCCAGCACTTTGGGAGGCCGAGACGGGCAGATCACGAGGTCAAGAGATTGAGACCGGCCGGGCGCGGTGGCTCAAGCCTGTAATCCCAGCACTTTGGGAGGCCGAGACGGGCGGATCACGAGGTCAGGAGATCGAGACCATCCTGGCGAACACGGTGAAACCCTGTCTCTACTAAAAAAATACAAAAAACTAGCCGGGCGAGGTGGCGGGCGCCTGTAGTCCCAGCTACTCGGGAGGCTGAGGCAGGAGAATGGCGTAAACCCGGGAAGCGGAGCTTGCAGAGAGCTGAGATCCAGCTACTGCACTCCAGCCTGGGCGACAGAGCGAGACTCTGTCTCAAAAATAATAATAATAATAATAATAATAATAATAATAATTTTGGTATGGAAAATGAATCTGAATTTCATCATAACTAAATTCCAGAAGACAGAAGGCAAAAGCTGCCCCTGAGAAGGTAGTGGATGATGCTTTTGTTTCTTGGTTCCCTTAGGAACGGGTTAACTTGTTTGGTTTCTGGAGCCGATTCAACGGATCTAACAGTAATGGGGAAAGAAAAGGTAGGATAAATGGAGACTGAGGACTGGAGAGGGATGGGAGGGATTCTTTCATGAGGGCAGCAGCCCATGTTTTTCTTTATTTTATATTCTCTGTCATCAATAGGAGACTCTTGGCCGGGTGCGGTGGCTCAAGCCTGTAATCCCAGCACTTTGGGAGGCCGAGACGGGCGGATCACGAGGTCAGGAGATCAAGACCATCCTGGCTAACACGGTGAAACCCCATCTCTACTAAAAAATGCAAAAAACTAGTCGGGCAAGGTGGCGGGCGCCTGTAGTCCCAGCTACTTGGTAGGCTGAGGCAGGAGAATGGCGTAAACCCGGGAAGCGGAGCTTGCAGTGAGCTGAGATCTGGCCACTGCACTCCAGCCTGGGTGACAGAGTGAGACTCCGTCTCAAAAAAAACAAACAAACAAACAAACAAACAAACAAAATAGACTCTTGTGAATGTCATTGACCCAGTATCCAGGATGGATGGGAAGATGAGAGAGGAATGGAAGAAGCAGGATGGGGAGGGAGGGTGTATTGAATAGTGATGGACTTTGAAAAGGTTGGAAATGTGATAATCTGGGATCACATTTTGTGGAGAAAATACCACTTGCACACAAAAGATACAGTTAGAAGACAGATTATCTGTGATCAGCTTCATTAACTCACTATTTTATGGTATGAATGATTTAGCCTTTCTTTCCTTTTCCTGTTCTAGACTTACAGCTCTCTGGTTTGAACAGCCCAGGATCCTGCTTGGAGAAAAAGGAGGAGGAAGAGTTGGAAAAGGAGGAAGTAGAGAAAACAGTAAGATTAGCTTTAATTTCAGTTTTTATTTTTATAGAGATGGAGTTTTGCCAGGTTGCCCAGGCTGATCTCAAACTCCTGGGCTTAAGCGGTCCTCCACCTCAGCCTTCCAAAGTGCTGGGATTACAGGCATGAGCCACCACACTTGACCAAGATTAGCTTTAAAAATTGTTTAGATGGTTGGGCACGATGGCTCACTCCTGTAATCCCAGCACTTTGGGAGGCCAAGATAGGCGGATCACGAGGTCAGGAGATCGAGACCATCCTGGCTAACACGGTGAAACCCCATCTACTGAAAATACAAAAAATTAGCAAGGCGTGGTGGTGGGCACCTGTAGTCCCAGCTACTCGGGAGGCTGAGGCAGGAGAATCGCTTGAACCCGGGAGGTGGAGCTTGCAGTGAGCCGAGACCACGCCACTGCACTCTAGCCTGGGCAACAGAGCCAGACTCCCTCTCAAAAAAAAAAAAAAAAGAAAAATTGTTTAGACAAGGATCTTGGGGGTTTCCTTTTAGGAGCTTCCTGTAACGATCTCATTAGCATGGACTTATATTTACTAAGGAGCCATCCTGCCCCTGCCTTGAGGGAGCCCCAGTTGTCGGATATTTGGGGGTTTCTAGGTCTCTTCTTTCCTCTTTATTCTCTAATTTTCCACATCTCTAGGAACTTCTTTCTTGAGTATAATTTCAGTTCCTACTGTATTTATTTGACTTTTCGGGGAGCAATTCAGAGAATAGCAGTTGTTTCTTTCTACTCCTTTCTCCCCTACGTGGACCTGGAGGATTTTCATTCACTTGTTTTCTTAGCATCTGTTTTCCAGGTATAGGAAATATATATTTTCACTTTTTCTTCTAATTTTTTATTTAGCAATTTTTATCATACTCGTGGCCTAGCTTTATTTCCTTTTATGCCTAAAGCCTTGCATTGATGAATACCAACAGACTGGGAAAGTGACTACACATTTTTCTCTGTGTTGCCATAAATTTAAACAATATCAGGCTCACAGAAGCTACTTTGATTCCCCAAAGCCCACCTGTCATTCTATAGCATCCTTCTCTATTAAAAACAGCTAGGGGCCTTAATTTATCTTTTTTTTAAACTTTCTCTCCTATCCTCAGGACCCAACTTTGCCCATTTGTAAGCAAGTCAAAATACAGACCCAAAAAACCAAGCCAAGAGGTAAGCAGGCCAGCTGGAAATGGGGCACATCCCACAGTTAAGGCAGGGAAGTGGTAGAGAGGGAGTCTGCAGGTAGGTGGACCTCACTGCCCATCTCAGTGCCAGGACCTGAGAAAACAGGCAACACTCACCCATAGTGTCAGTGGGGAGCAGGAGCCCCCTTGCTTCTCTGTACTGAATTATAAAATCTGAGATGAAAGACAGAAGGTTTTACGTTCTTAGCCAAGAAGGATGACTTCCTGGAGAAGGTAGACTCTGAGGAGAACTGTAAAGAGAAGAAGATCCAGGGGGTAAAAGAAAAAAAGAGAGAACTGGTGGAAAAAGATGTTGAAAAAGAGCCAGAGGCCACTAGGAGAACTCACTAGATTGAGACTGAGCAGAAGATGTGGGGCAGGGCAGAGACTCAATGTGCAGTGTCCATCTGCCCTTGCTGAGTTGTCATTTAGAGAGAAATAAGCACATTTCCCTCATGACTGGGACTTGGGGGTGGTGCAGGCACAGCAGATGGCCGTGGCAGGATGCTGCAGAGGAAGATAATGAAGAGATCTCTGGGCAGGAAATCCACAGCTCCTCCTGCACTCAGAATGGGAAGGAAAGAAGGCCAAGGGAATTCAGATTCTGACCAGCCAGGTAAGGCTCAAGACCTTGGAAAAACTAAGGGGAATGAGGTGCCTGTCGGCATCTCCCCTCCCTGAATCATTTCTTAACCGTTTTACAGCTTTTCATTACTTTACTGAATGAATGAAAATTAGAATGAAAGCGCATGTCGGACTGCACCCAGCACACACTATAGAAACAGAATGATTCCTGATTTGATTTAGCCCAGGGGCAGGAGAGTGGTAGAAGAGAAGTAACACTTACTCAGTATTGCCAAGATCTGGCTAAAGAGATACTTCCATGTCTGCTCCTTTAAATTTTTTTCAATAACTCTCTCACTGGGTATTCCCATTTTAGATATCAGAAAACTGAGGCTCAAAGGATTTAAAAATTGCTCAAGGCTGATGACTAGCATAGGGCGGACGGCTTGACTCTCTTTCTGATCCCAAAGTCCATATTCTTTGTATTGAGAAAGGTCATCTTTTCCAGAGATTTTTTGGAAATAGAGATTTAGGAGTTTGACTTATAAATGGTAAGGACAGGTTGACCTAATAGGACTCTCGGCTTTGTCACCTTCTCATTTAGGCCCTAAGAAAAAATTTAAAGCTCCCCAGAGCAAGGCCTTGGCAGCCAGCTTTTCAGAGGGAGAAGAAGTTAGAACAGTGCCAAAGGACCTGGGCCTATCAGCATGTAAGGGGGCCTGCCCCTCAGCTGCAAAAGAAGAGCCAAGACTCCGGGAACCTCTGACCCAGGAGGCTGGACGTGTTCCCCTTGAGGATGAAGCCTCCAGTGATCTGGACCTGGAGCAACTCATGGAAGATGTTGGGAGAGAGCTGGGGCAGAGCGGGGAGCTGCAGCACAGTGACAGTGATGGCGAGGACTTCCCTGTGGCGCTGTTTGGGAAGTAGCTGGTGCTCCTGCACTCCCTTCTTTCCTCTCTTCTCTGGGGCGCAGGAGGGAGAAGTGGCTAAGTGCTGGGGCTGTTCATTGGCTACGAGGTTCAAGTGTGTGTTGTGCTGTTTCTTTGTTAATAAAGCAGGTTGCAGGTCGGCTGGCTTGGCTGGTCTCTAACTGCCCCCTGTTGGCTGCTCGCCCTCCTTGGTGTCACCGTGGTGTCACTGCTTCTGGTGGGAGCCTGCACAGTGCAGGCATCTGGGGAAGGCAGTGAGACCTGAGTCCTGAGAGGACATTGAGAAGGGCAGATCTGGATTCAGATTCGGGCTCAGCTCCTCACTAGCTACCTCCATGGCCTGGGGAAAAGCATGTTCACCATCCTGGTTCTGCTCTTCATCTTCCAGCAAGTGCATCCTCTACCTTATAGGGTTGTGAATGATGTCAAATGAGGTGATGCTCTCATTGTCACCATAGGGAAGACTGATCAGATTTGAGGGCAGGCTTTGGGTTTGGGCTGGCTACCAAGGTTTGGGGACTCATGTTCCCTGGCCCAAGGAAGTCACTAAGAAAAGTACTAGAGGAAGGGTCTTGGGTGTGAATTCTCTGTTAGAGTTCATTTTCACTGGGAGGGACAGGAGTTGAAGGTGATGTCAGTTTTCTCCTTACACACATTCAAGTAAGTTTTGGGGGTACTTTTAGTTTTACGGGCCAGGGCTGGGAAGGTGAAGAGAGAGTTGGAGTAGATGGCTCTGTTTTTGTCAGTTCTTTGGCTGGCCTCTGAGTCATCTGTATGGCCTTGGTTATTGTTGGAAGCTGTGGCCCTTCCTATTGGAAGCGTAGTATACTCTAAGAAGGTCATTGTGCAGTCTTTTTAAACTTGTTTTAATGGATTCAGATTTTTAAAAATAGTTTTGAAGACAATCTTTTTAAATTTGTTACTTTATTGTTAATACACATTTTTAACTAGCAATGGCATCTCGCTCCATTGTCAAAGCTGACGCTGAACTCCTGGGCTCACTCTGTTCTGCCTCAGGCTTCAGAGTAGCTGGGATTACAGACCTGCGCCACTGTGCCTGGCCCCACCGTTCAGTCTTGAGAGGGCTGTCCATTGGTTAGGCCTTTAAGACAGAGTACAGAGTCTCGTTCTGGGGGCTCTTGAGGGGATGGTGGCTGGGAGGTACTCTGGGTGAGGTGGAGCTGGAGAGGGCAAGGGAGGCATAGACGATGCCGTCGTCCTGGGCGAGAATCCAGAGAGAAAAGGTTAGACAGTGGAGATGGAGCTGTCCCCATCTTAGTGGCAAGCCTACAATCTGACTCTCCTGCCCACACCACACTCCCCCTCTCCCTTCCACCCCGCCTTCTCCAGGCTTCTCTAATTCCTTCAGGCCCTGGTCTGACTGCTTACCTTGGGATTTGGCTTGGGATCTGTATTTTGTCCTAGGAATAAAAAGCAAGGTGTGCCAAGGTCAGGTGGTGTGACAACCAGGGGAGAGAGATGGGCAGGGGGCTCTAGGAGTGAGGTTATCTGCTAGGTTAGGACCAGGGTCACGTGGGGGCAAGGGGCGAGGAATGGAAAGAAGAAAACACTGAGAGGGGCATGGACCCAGGTAATGGGTGTTTGGGGAAACAGGAAGGGCCAGGGGTAGAAAATGGGGAAGGATGGTGGTAAGGACTCACCTTCATTCCTGATATTCTCATATGGCTCCTCTGTGTTTTGGAAGGGTTCCCTGTGTGGGAACAAGAGGATAGGAAATATGTTAGAGGCTGGGCATTTAAGACATGGGCTGGGTGGTGGCACCTGTAATCCCAGCACTTTGGGAGACTGAGGCAGGTGGCCATTGCTTGAGCCCAGGAGTACAAGACCAGCCTGGGCAACATAGCAAGACCCCGTCTTTATAATAAATACAAAAATTAGCCGACATAGTAGTGTGCGCCTATGGTCCAGGCTACTCAGGAGGCTGAGGTGGGAGGATCGCTTGAGCCCAGGAGCTCAAGGCTATGAGCTATGATTGCGCCACTGCACTCCAGCCAGGGTGACAGAGCGATACCCTCTCTCAAAAATAAAAAAAGAAAAAAAGAAAAAATAATTATGACACGTGTTAGGGGCTGGTTCTCTTTGGGGAGTGCTCTGCAACCTGTCCACCCTGCTCAGGATGGGTGTGATGGTTTTAGACTCAGAGGAGGCTGCTTGGAAGAGGAATTAGGGGCAATTTGTGTGTGGCCCAGCAGAGGTCCCTCGGTGCTCAGTGAGTTGGGTTCTTCTAGGGAAGCTGCTTGTATGAGAGGAACACGGAGAGGAAAACTAGGAAAGGTCAATCCTTGCTTTCTCTCTGCTGGTGCTGCCTTGGCTAAAACTGGGAGAAGCAAACCAATTGTGTGAATTTCAGGTCTTCTGATCAGGGGCTCAGGCTGGGTGAATGGTTGGAGAAGGAACCTGATGAGGGACAGGAGAAGGGCAGCTGACAAAAGCCAGCGCAGGAGAAAGGGCAGGGGTGATGCTTTCTTCAGCAGGAGACCTACGGCCATGGAGAGGAGAGGCCAGAGGAAAGGAAAGAGAGGCAGGAGGGTGGAGAGGAAGAGCCCAGAAAAAGGAAAAGTGAGGCCCTAGCCTAGAGAGGGGAGCAAGGCAGAGGCTAGTGAGTCCCTCCTGAGCACACACAGGCAGGGAGAGGTGCTGGAGGCAGAGGAAGCCTGGGGCCCCCACCGCACATTCAGCAGGGGAACAGGACAGATTGAACGAGAGCAGGCGATATGGAAAAGCTGGAAGATCCAGGCTGAGAGGAAGCAGGTGAAGAGCAGGAAAAGCTTAGTAACACCAGGAAAGGCAGGCAGAGGGCACAGATGGGCACTCCAGAAAAGAGACTCTAAGTGTTCGTGCTGGAACCCGGAGTCCACTAGTCTAGTATTTAGGGGACAGAAAGCCTGAGGTCAAGAGCCTGGCCCCTAGAGGACAAAGGAGGACAAGGATGGGTAAGTTGGGGATGCAACAATGGCTGTGGCAGGCTGGGTTTGTGGGGTTCTTAGCAGCATACTCCCTGTTTCCCAAACCAGGCCACTGCCTGCACCTCCCCACCCCCCTGGGGAGGTCCAGCACTCACTTGACTGGGGTTGTGGCTTTAGTCCGCTGCTGACCTGTAGGGGGACCGACAGTGAGTCAGGGTGGCATCCGGGTGATGGCAGCCTCCATCCCACCTTCTGTGCTGCGCCCTAGGCTGAGGCCCTCCTTAGAGGGACCAGCTGCTCCACCCAAACACATCAAGAAGGGCCTGGGACTCAGCTGGCACCCTGAGGTCCCCACCTGTCCTCCCTGTTGTCCTCCACGTCACCTCCTGAGACCCCCTCACCCTGACCCCCTCCCTTGGTTTCTTTCTCTCTTGAGCTCTCTGCTCAGTCCCAACCTGGCTCCCTCCACCACTGAGCCCTTGCCCAGCCACTTCTCCCCTCCCCTCCCCTTGACATTGGTACCCTGCCCCTACTCCCTCCAGGTCCTCAGGGAGACCACACCTGTGCTTTTCTTCTAGGTGGCGTCTAGGTCTGCCCTCCAGGCTTCAGGAATCAGGAGCCTTGTGCTTGGGACTCATGTTTGTGGCTGTTGAAGTTCTGTTGCCACCACTAGGCCTCCTCTGGCTGGTCCCACCGTGAATCCTCTGCTGCCTCTCCCACTGTACCCTGCCCATCCTGTCCCCCTGGCATCCTTGCAGTATTTCCCAAGCACTGGGCTCCTGGTTCACAGACATCCGCTCCACCGTCCAACCTCTTCCCAGTTGGGCTCCACGTCCACAGAGACACCCTCTGAACCCAGGCCTCGAGGTACCCCTCAACTCCAGGGACTTCCCCTTCCACTTCTACAGGACTTTTTTTTTTTTATGTTGAGACTGGAACTCTGAAATATTAATTGCTAGTATCATTTCCATTCTGCAACTTTCCCTCCTTCCAGCACTCTTCTGTCCCTCTGTTTTTCCCCTCCCTTTGAAACTTAAACAGGTTATATTTTATTTTACTTATGGTAAAAAAAAAAAAAAATGCTAGAATTCACTTTTAACCACGTGTACAGTTCAGTAGTGTTAAGTATATTCACACTGTTATGAAACATCTCCAGAACCTTTTTATCTTGCAAAACTGACACTATTTTAAAAAATCCCCACTCCTTCCTCCCTGCAGCTTCTGACAGCCACCGTTCTACTTTCTGTTCCTATTAATTTCATATCTCTAGGTACCACCAAAAAGCAGAATCATACAATTTGTCATTTTGTAACTGCCTTATTTCACCTAGCATAATGTCTTCCAGGTTCATTTATACTGTAGTATGTGTCAGAATTTCTTTCTTTTTCTTTTTTTTTTTTTTTTTTGAGACGGAGTTTTGCTCTTGTCACCCAGGCTGGAGTTCTGTAGTGTGATCTAGGCTCACTGTAACCTCTACCTCTTGGGTTCAAGCGATTCTCCTGCCTGAAGCTCCCACGTAGCTGAGATTACAGACGTCCACCACCAGGCCTAGCTAATTTTGTATTTTTAGTAGAGACAGGGTTTCACCATGTTGGTCATGCTGGTCTCAAACTCCTGACCTCAGGTAATCCACCCACCTCAGCCTCCCAAAGTGCTGGGATTACAGGTGTAAGCCACTGCACCTGGCCCAGAATTTCTTTTAAAGACTGAATAATATTCTATTATATGTATAAACCACATTTTGTTCATCCATCCATTCGTTGATGGACATCTGGGTTGCTTCCACCTCTTGGCCATTGAAAATAGTATTGCTGTCAACATGGGTGTATAAATATTTCTTCAAGACCTTTCTTTTCAGTTCTTTTGGGCATGTACCCAAAAGTGGGATTGCTGGATCATATGGTAGCCTTATTTATTTATTTATTTATTTATTTATTTATTTATTTATTTTGAGATGAAGTCTCGCTCTGTCACCCAGGCTGGAGTGCAGTGGCACAATCTCAGCTCACTGCAACCTCTGCCTCCTGGGTTCAAACGATTCTCCTGCCTCAGCCTCCCGAGTAGCTGGGATTACAGGTGCCTGCCATCACACCCAGCTAATTTTGTATTTTTAGTAGAGATGGTGTTTCACCATGTTGGCCAGGCTGGTCTCAAACTCCTGGCCTCAGGTGATCCGCCCGCCTCAGCCTCCTAAGGTGCCGGAATTTGAGGAGTGAGCCACCACTCCTGGCCTTTATTTTTAAATTTTTGAGGAAAGGCCATGCTTTTTTCTATATCATTTGCACTATTTTATACCCCCATCAACAGTGCAGAAGGACCCCAATTTCTTCACATTCTTCCCAACACTTGTCATTTACACACTTATTTATTTTTAATAGTAGCTATCCTTCTGGGTATAAGGAGATAGCTCTCTGTGGTTTTGATTTGCATTTCTCTGATGATTAGTTGGCCATTTTCATCTGCTTGTTGGCGATTTGTGTACTGTCTTAGTCTATTTTGTGCTGCTAATATATTCTTATTTTTATTTTTTTTTGAGAGGAGTCTCGCTCTGCCGCCCAGGCTGGAGTGCGGTGGCCGGATCTCAGCTCACTGCAAGCTCCGCCTCCCGGGTTCACGCCATTCTCCTGCCTCAGCCTCCCGAGTAGCTGGGACTACAGGCGCCGCCACCACGCCCAGCTAGTTTTTTTTTTTTTTTTTTTTTTTTTAATAGAGGCGGAGTTTCACCGTGTTAGCCAGGATGGTCTCGATCTCCTGACCTCATGATCCGCCCGTCTCGGCCTCCCAAAGTGCTGGGATTACAGGCTTGAGCCACCGCGCCCGGCCTGTGCTGCTAATATATATAAGAATATCTGAGCTTGTATAATTTATAAAGAACAAATTTATTTCTTCTGTTGGACAAGAGTTTGCTGAAAAGTAAAACAAAGCAAAACAAAAATTATTTCTCACAATTCTGGAGGCTGGGAAGTCCAAGATCAAGGTGCCAGCAACTTGCTTTTTTCTGTGTCTTCCAGAGGGGAGGATTACTGTGCCCTCACATGGCAGAAGATCACAAGACAGTGAACCCACTCCTGAAATCCCTTTTTATAATGGCATTAATCTGTTCATCTGGCAGAGCCATCATGATCTAAGCACCTTCCAAAACACACTACCTCCCAGTTGTCACACTGGGGACTGTTTCCAATACATGATTTGAGGAGACACATTCAGACCATAGCATATATCATCTCTGGAGAAATGTCTGTTAAAATCCACTGCCCACTTTTAAATTGGGTTGATTTTTTGTTGTTGTTGAATTGTAGGAGTTTTTATATATTTTGGATATTCACTCCTTATTAGATATATAATTTGCAAATATTTTCCCTATTCTGTAGGTTGCCTTTGGATTCTGTTGATTATGTCCTTTAATGAAAAAACATGTTTAAGTTTAATGTGGTCCTATTTGTCTATTTTTTCTTTTGTGGCTTGTGCTTATGGTATCACAGGCAAGAAATTATTGCCAAACTCAAAGTCATGAGGCTTTTCCCCTATGGTTTGGGGTCTTACTTTTAGGTCTTTAATCCATTTGGAGTTAGATTTTGTGTATGGTATAAGATAAGGATCCAACTTCATTCTTTGGTGTGGATATTCAATTTTCCAATGCCATTTGTTGAAGAGATTGTCCTTTGCCCATTAAGTGCTCTTGGTACCCTTGTCAAGTCTTTTGACCATATGCACAAGGGTTTATTTCTAGACTCTGTATTCTATTCCATTGGTATATTGATTTATCTTTTTTTTTTTTTTTTTT